AACATATTTTTGTTAACGTGAAGGGGTCAAATGCGTGAAGGGCGCGTATTGTTTGCTTATGTTTTATTTTGTTGTGTGGTGTGTGTGTGTGTGCGCGCGCGCGCGCGTTGTGTAGTGTGTGTTTTGGTCCGACCGCCAGCAATCTGACACCAACTCTTTTGTCCCAGCTACAGCCGTGTCTGCGGCACGGGTCTGGTTTCTCAGTGGAGTGAGAGAGAGTGTTGTGTGTGTGTGTGCAAGCCAGTCCTATCCCCTCCACCGTCTCCCCTCCCATACCTGGCTTGTCCCATTAATCACAGGCGGCGTTCTCCTTTTCAAAGAATAAGAGACCACCCTGGGCGTACGGTGACGTTGCCAGCCACATGACACGTGGTGGGAGCTAGCACGTGATATAGGGCGCGTGTGTGTGTGGCGTTTGCATCCTATTACTCTCCAACCGAGAGTTAAACACACCAGTCTACTCACAACCTACACACCAACTATAAACCCTTTACGCATCAGCCTCACCCGATACACACCAGCCTAGCGCGATAGCACACTAGCTTAGTCCTATACATGCCCGCCTCGCCCTATACAGCAGATGGACCCTATATACAACATCGGCCAAGCTCTGTGCACAACAGCGTATCACGATCCGCAACAACCCCTAAACCCCCTTTCGCAACACTTGTGCAGGTGGGCACACCGCTCACTGTTATCACCATACATGGTATTTTCTCAGGCAAGGCCGTAATTATAATATATATTGGGGGGACATCACCCCCACATCACCCCCAATATAGTGCTATAAAATAGACTTCTGTTTTTTTTATTGTGGTTATGGTTGTACTTTATTAATCCCTAATCTTTGCCATTACATACAATGAAACAAGAAAAGGTAAAACAAGAAAAAAACAGAGCAATGTAATACAATACACTATTAGACATTGTAACAAAAGAAATAAAAAGTCCATCCTATGTGAGTGAATTTTTTTAAATATTTTAGGCAGGAAATGGCAGGAAATTTTTAAATGTAGATTTTTTTTCTGGGGGGGGGGGGGGAAGATTTGGAAGATTTGGTCCCCCCCAATGTTGACTCCATGGCTACGGCCTTGATCTCAGGTGTCCATTGTTAAAAAGAGAGGCGCCGACTCAACGCGGGGAGCTCTCACCTTCCTCTCCCATTGTCCTCTGTGCCAGATGAGAAGTTATTGAGATTCGTGGCCTTTCATCCGTGTGACGATAGAAACCTCGGAAATGTTTACAGTTCCATACTTTTATCAGTGCCCTACCTTATTACAGACCAACTCAGACCTTGTTCGTCACCCCCGTGCCCTTATAAATCGCAACGTTCATCCTACAAAGTCCCATCACAAGGGAGAAATACAAACCAATAGACAGAAATTATGTTACTAAACAAAAACGGTTTTACGTATTAACTTTGACAATTGGTGTCAATGATGCTACTTATACTACTGTCTGTGATCTTGCATGCTGATGCTGCTTGCTTGATATGTGGATACACACACACGTTGTAAATGTACAACAATAAACACAGAAAATTACGAAGGGGTTAAACAATACACTTTTTTAATTTGACCGTATCATTATTTTTTGCCCGTATTGAAACGGCTGTACGCCGTATGGACCTGAAAATTCAATTTCACTGTACAACAATACGGGTAAACCGTATGAGTTGACAGGTATGCAGTCCTGTATATTTATACATTTTTATATGGGGGTGGGGCCTGGTTCCTTTTAAGTGCTGTCATGACGCACACACGCGCAGTGACTTCCTCTTGACAATGAATCCACAGGATCGCGTCGCTTTTACAGCAGACACTTCTCGCTCGCGTCTATTACAAGACGTTGCTTAGCGGGAGTGAGAATTTAGTCGCACACTCCGTGTGCAAAACAGTGGAGCAAGGACAAAACCACCACCCGAGGTCGAACGCCGTGGGATTTTGTCTTTCTCCCAAGTTCTATTGCACAGTTGTGCCATTGGCGTCATGTCACGAGATGAAGAAGCGTCTGTTTGGAACTCTCTTTGTCAGTACTCTTTGGTTCTATTCGGTAAAGTCACGTAGGTAAAAAATAGAACCAAAGAGTATGGATCCTTGCAGTCACGAAAGCTTCAAATCTCTCTTTGTCAGGTCCACGCATCACCCCAACGCCCCCCCCCCCCCCCGTGTTCGAGAGCGTTCCTGCACAATTCAACGTCACATGACTCGCGTCTGTGATCTCTTTAAGTGAGCTCGGGAGTTGGCCTGCTGCACAGATGTTCGTCACGTGACAGCCAAACAGATTTTTTTGTTTGTATTCTTAACATCTGCAATTGTGGGCAACTTAAGTGAAAACACTCATTTAATGTTTAAGCACGAAAATTAAACGCTAACCATTGAATCATAATTAATTTAATATGATGGGAGGGGTGGGGGGGTTATTTGTGCAGCAATTTGGTGAACGGGCTGAGATCATCAACTCGCTACGCATGAGGACACCGTGTAATCATGGGCATGGCGGCTTTAACCTGCATTTGAACCCAAGAGCTGCTGAAACTCTATACACATCAGCCAAGCTCTTGTGACCTTTCAGCCACCTGACCTCTTTGACCACATGGTCCCCAAGTAGATGGTTTCATTCATTGACTAAGACAGCCTTACAGTGCCTCTGTATGAGGTGAGATATGGCGGGTTTACAATATTGCCCCTGTTTCAAGGAGCAGTTTCGTGTATTGGGAGAGCATCTTGTGGCCACTCAACCTGGGACTACTTTAGCTTGATGACTCTTTCAGATACGAATAAAATAGTGCTAAGGCAGTGAGTGGTTCGTGCAACGAGCAATGAGCCGGGCAACCTGAGTTTGAGTGTCGAGAAGGGCTGGCAACAATGACAGCTGATATCTGACCCGGTTCTGGGCGTGTTACCCCCTTCTAACCATCGTGGTGAAGTATGGTCAAACAATCCTAACGACCAACACTGCTTTGGGGGAGGGAGGCCTTCATTCAGCAGTGTCTTGCCACTGAACTGTAACTTTTAGAATAGTGCTTGCGTTGTGAATTTGCCACCCTAGGATTTTACATTGCCCTCCCCCACCCCCCCGACTGGGTCTGTGGGCAGTGTCAACATTACGATAAGAGACATTGTTATTTAATCCACAGATTGAGGTAGTTGTAAAAAGTAAAATCGAGATATTTTTCAATAACAGAATGTACACGCAAGCGTGATTATCTCCGAAGCACGGCTGCCCAGAGGCGGATGGCGTTTGTTGGCCCAGGATTTTACGTGTAGTTTTTGTAATTCGAACTGAAAAACGATAATGAAACGTCGGGCGTGCACGTTGTTGTATCCGCCAGTTATGCTCTTGTTCCCCCAGAGCGGGTTGGTAAACGGACTGTGTATTTTTGTGTATATGTGTAACAATGGTGTGCATCGTATAGGGCTGTTAATTAGCAATTGTTTTTTTTTATAATTATCACGATCGATTGCAAATTTCTTGGAATCGATGATCGACTCCAGTTCATTTTTAGTGACGATTGAACGGAGCAGGACGTTGAAACCGCGCGTCGCGTTCCAGCGTGGATTGGCCGGCGGCAGCCACCGTGAGGCACCAGCGGCAGGGCCCATCGGTCACCGCGTGGTGCGTTACAACAAAGACACACACGGCTGGACATTTATTTGTATTCTTCACCCATTTCAATGCGTAGCACACGAGTAATCAAATCGAGTGGTCACGTGACAATGCAATACATACAATATCTATATATTTTTTAATTAAATAACTTACAAGCATGTGTCAGTCCATTGCTGGTTGAAGGCCTCGCCACTCTTTATCAGTCATGGGACTTGTTTCACCATGCTTCATCACACTGGTCGGTTGTGGGGTCGGTGAAGATTGGTAAACTGATCATTATTTCTAGATTTGATCGCTCTAACCCGTGTTAGAGCGATCACGTATTAGAGCGATCTCTTTGACATGTCTCAGCAACTGTCTTCGCTGTGGTTGTCCCCACCTGATGACGGACGCTTGTGTTGCGCCCGAAACGTCGTGATTTCATTTAGTTGTTTTCATTCATTTTAAAGATTTTTTTTACCTACGTGACAATACCGAAAAAACCAAAGAGTATGATCATTATTTATTATAGATTTTTGGGTTAGGCGACATGATGATATGAACAAATTTGTGTTGGTAATACCCTCCACCACCTGACACAGTCTTAAATTGCGACGTTGTGTGCAAGCATTTAACGTGGCCAGTTACTGTTGTTTTGGCTCACCAGTGAGTTTAGAACAGCTCTCACAACCAACTTGAGCAATTTTATTCGTGAAATTTAGTTTTAAACTACTCCAAGAATCTTCAGGGCAAGATCCACCAAGTCAGAATAAAAATTCAGGAAGTCAAAATGTTGTAAACCCTATGTATTAAGAAAACCGATTGTATACTGTATATAAATTCCATGAAGTCATCGTTGATAGAAAAACACCAAAACGAACAAACCGAGTGTTGTGTAACGTACGCAGTTTGTGGCGTGATTTGTGTGTGCCGTGTGTGTTGTGGTGGCGTTTCCTTCCGCACGTCGCTGGCTCGTGTTGTTCGGTACACTTGCTCTAGCCCGCATTACAGTGAGCGGTTATTAAATCAGCACCCGGGGTTCGGGCTGCACGACAGTCCCCTGCAAGACGCGCCGACTGAGACACGAGGTTCCTGTCTTAGGAATTTCCCCTTTTGCTTGCCTTGTTAATGGTACGGGAAGTTGTCACGAGTGCGGGCTCTGCAGTATTTGCAAGGAAACATCCAGTTTTTAAGCTCGCATTCTCCAGAGATGTGAACTACCTCACGAGGTATGCAGGAGTCCTGAGTTTGATCCCGGCCCTGACGCCTGTATATTTGGAGTTTGCATGTTCTCCCGGTGGTCGCGTGGATTTTTCTTTGGATCCTCCGGTTTTTCTCTCCGCATTTAAAATCAACATGCGTTTGGAGTATTTGGCTGCTATGCATTTCCACGTGATAAACCACTTCGTTGACCTATCATTTGTGGCCAGGTCGCTTCTGAAAAAGAACTCAGTTGGCCTTACCTGGTAGAATAAAACGTCTTAGTTTAGTGCAAGATACTCCGGAAAGCAAGACTCACTCCAAGATATGGGGAGAACCGTCAACTGAATGGGATTCTGATCCACTAGATTAACACGCATTTTCCTGAAGACAAATGCACGCTCTGGATTGTAAGATACACCCCCAACTTTTGCTTTCAAACATGGGAGGAAAAAAAATCACGTCTTATTATCTGGAGAGTACGGTAATTGAGACAGATGATGACGCTAATGATCTGTTATGAGTAAAGTGCCAGGTTTTCTGATTTATTTTGCTGATTGATAACCGATTACATGTTGCTGAATTACCCGACTTAAAATAACACGGAAATAGGGGTGGGGGATAAAAAAAAAGTCTCAATCTCTTTTCCCGCATCTTCTGCTGGACGGGAGGTGATGGGTGGGACTTGGCGATGTCATCGGCCCCATTGTCAGCCGCATCGCACCGTAAAAGCAGAGCCCAGTAACTCGCCAAGGGAGCGGAAAGCGCATCCTTTGTAGCTGGCCAATGGCCAAAAAAGAGGGGACCTTTCGAAAGAAAGCATCCAACTGTTGCGCTCTTACGGCTGATGCCATTGAGCTGTAATGAGCGTTGCAGTGCCGGCGGCTGGTTGCTCTGCAGTGGAGTCACGTGCGAAGTTTGGCCAGGTGAATTTATTACCTGGGTGCATTACGTGGTGGTAGCAGCAGCACTGGACTGTGAGGGATGGGGTCGGTGTGGCGAGGCTTTCATCAGGCAGTGGATAGACACTGGCTGATGATGAATCACTTTGGCGGTTTAATATTAAAATGATGTACCTTTAATCACGCTGGGGATACTGCCGTGGCGATTTTCAATCCGGAGGTCGAGAGGTCGCCGGTTTTGAATTGATCTCCTGGCATGGCAGTAACAACAATGGTACAAGTTTCTTAAATCTTCGCTCGTCCTCCATCCACCCAGCGGTATAAACGGGTACGCCACAAGTTGGTCGACCGGCAAAGTCACGTGAGGTGGGGTAAAGTGTGGGTTACGCCCACCTCTTCCAGGGCGTCTGGGTCCGTGTAGAAGCGTGGGCCGTTATAGCCTCTCGAGGAGCTCCCTGTAGTTGGAGGGGCCCTTCCCCGTCAGTCGTGTGGCGGGGCAAGCGATTCCAGGGCTGCACTTTTTACCGTGTTAATCAAGCGTGGTGTTTTGCTGCGCGTTTGTGCGTGTGACCCCCCCCCCCACACACAGGGAGGCGGCGGAGTTGTGGCGTTCCTCTTAATACCGTAGCTGCGTACATTGTTTAATATCCTGTGGATAACTTATAGACCATAATCGAGCCGTCACATTTCTTTGGAACCTTAATGCTCAACTATTGTTTGGGCAAGTGAAAGAATTTCACGTGGGATGGTGGCAGAGGGGGTGGTCCTGTTCCAGTTTAACGCACTGTACTTGGGTAAAGAAGAGGGAGGAGGAGGAGGATGTGATGGCGTAGTGGTTTGCACCCTCAACTGTGAACCTGGGAATCTGATTTTGATTCATGGTCCTGCCTCGCATCAATCGCCGAGTGATGATATCTGTCTCGGTCCTAGGCTCTCTCCCGCTGAAACAACGCAATGGTCAAACAACCCCCATAGCTGATACGACGTGACCATCTAGCAGTGGATTAAGATGAGCCTGTAATAGATATACATGTCGCTATACAATGGGTAAAGTACTAATAATTTATATTTAGCCGTTAATGAGTACTTGCCATTAGGAGTGAGTTGGCTGATGAGCAAACCTTGAAAAACATTTTTTTTCCCCAAGAAGGGGCTAATATGCTTTAATTATTATATATACTTTATTTTATTTTTGCTGCTAATGTTTTAATTTTATTCCATCTGTCCTATGGTGTCATAGCATGAGACAGTGGTCATTCAGAAATCGTGCAGGGCTATGCCCCCCCCCCCGCCCCGTGTCAGAGAACACCGTGGGTAAAGAGATGAATGAGATATCGCAGACCTGAGATCACTCCTTGTGGCCTCTTATACCCACACACCTTCCCACATGCCCCGTCGACAGAGATCAAGGTTATTTTGTTTGATTGTATATTTTGTTTCACCGAATGAGAATTCAAGACACATTGCAAGAGTGACCGCTGGGGCATTATTCTGCCAGTAAGGGGGCGATGATGTGCTGCTGCGCTTGTGATCCCAATTTAGTTATTTGCAGGTAGTTTTTTTTAAATGGTCACTTTGGAGCGTGACGCCAGGATGTGGCGGCCTACCCGTGCGATTGACGTCGAGGGTTAGTTAACGTCCACTGTGAGAAGGGGCAGACAGGGCGTAGTGTTACAGTTATTCTACCCCCCAAGTAATGATCAGGACAGCCGCTGGAATGGAACCGTGAACGTCTGCAACAAGCAGCCAACTTTGCAGTCTTCTTTGTTCAGTTTTATTAAAGAATTTTCCGTAATTAATTTCCGTTGGATGTCGTAATGACCATGTCATCAGCAAATATGATATCCGTAATGTTGTCTCCATTTTATGATCGTCTGTTTCTGGAATGCAGTTTTTGGAGAAACATCTTATAACGTTGCGATGAATAACTTTGGGGAAATGTTGTTACCATGTCTGACTCATCTTCTGCTACGTGTTGATTTTCACATGTTATTTTTTTTGCTTCATGCAGTTTCATAGCTCTCTCCCCGTCTTGGAATTTATCCTCGTATTTACGAAATATGTTTTTATCCAGAAAATTCGCTAAACAATTGAAAATATTTCTCAAGACGGAAACTGCCGGGAGAACTCATTGAGGTGCGATCGCCTGGCTCGCCAGGAGAAGGCCATGCAGCAAATGGACTAATCTCCATCTGTTTACATTTATACGGGGATAGAGTGTTGCCCCCCTCGCACGCGGGTTTTCTCTGCATTCCTCCCACTTGTATAGTAACTCATTAATCAACTGAAAAATATCTTTAAATGAAAACTCAATGCTGGACCCTCCTGAGAAAGAGGTCGATGACTCAGTCTGGCTTTCCTGCAATAATTACAATACAATAGATGATTGATTATCCGGCAGCTTACGGGAGAAGGGGTTGCCGGATTCTCAAAAACGCCAGATAATCACAACATCGTTTAAAATGTGTTATTTTTGGCACACTCTTGTATAACACGTTTCAGGTGTTGCGTCTTTTAAATTTGCTAAATGGAATTGGCATAAATAAACATAAAAATAGACAAAAATAAACACCCTACTGTAAAAAGTTATGGTATTTACTGTCCAGTACTTACCACTCCAATCTCGAAGACCCTCCACTCCGTCACTTATTGAGTAAACACGAGGGCGGTGACTTGAGGCGTTAAGTGTTGGTGACAGCGTGAGACGCCGCGAGTGGGCGGGTGTGTGAGCGGGCACTTGGATTACGTCTACCGATTACATCGACGGATTACAACCTTGGATTACATCTACGGTTTCCATCTCCGTCTCCTCCGCTACGTCTCGAGCTTCGACGCGAGGCCCCCCCATTCCTCCACCTGTCATGCCCAAATATTAAAATAGCTGCCGTGCTGTGCCTCGATTCGCTGGCTCTATCCGGCTGGTGCTTATGTATACACATGTATATTTATATCTGTAGAGTCCGTGCATATATATTTACGTGCACTCCTCCCTGAACGACCACATCGCCGAACGGCTATAAGCCATCTTCAGATTCTGTTGCACGGGGCCGAACGCGAAGGACGCAATGAAGCGGTGTTTCCTGGGCTGTGCGAGGTATGTCGGGCCCCTTTTCGCTGGCATTTTAATAATGTTTGTATGTTGAACTTCTTTCGCATTGTAGGTAGCCAACCGTGCTCATAACTAGGAGAAATAACTCTGCTTATTCTCATGCAAAGGGCTGGAACGTAGACGCGGTGGTTATCTCACACGGTGTTATTAACACGGTGAACCGAGTTTGATTAATTACCTGGCCATGACTATGGGCCAGGTAATTAATGGAAACTAACAACCCTACTGAGTTTGTTTACCGAAAGACCCCATAGTCATGGCCAGGTAATTAAACAAACTCAGTAGGGTTGTTAGTTTCCATTAATTTTCGTTACTCATTATAATGATGGAATGCGAACAAAAAACAAATCTCGGTTTTCAAAGCTTCAACAAAACCCGCACTGACCAGTCTGGTGAAGGGTGGTAAAAAACACATAATTCCATGACCAACCCACCATGGGGGGATGCACTCATCCAGCAGTGAATTAACAAAGGCCTGTGGATATATCGAATGAAAATGTATTTGTATAATCTATGGGGTCTTTCGGTAAAGCCATGTCTCCTGGAGACGATTGCTTGTGTTGTGATCGAAACGTCGTGATGTTTTTTTAATTATTTTTCTATCTTTGTGGCTTTACCGCAAGACGCATAGAATATGTATTCCTGCAATCACGAAAGCTTTAAGTCAAGTATTTGTATAAGTCGAGTAGCTTACCGTTGTACAGAAACGCAATTGTTTCTCTTTCATGGCCGCCGCGGGTGCCCGTGTGCTGTGATTGTTAACGCGTTGTGTGTTCTGCGGTGCGTTCTTGATTATAACTCTAATCGCGTGGAAGCGGTCACATGTAGCTTACTGCGAATTAAATTCACTGCATTGTGCAACAGAATGTAAGTTGCATTTCTGGCCCATTTCGTGGGTGGGGATGATGAGCTTGTTTGAAAGGGCGTATAAATGCCCCTTCGTCGTCTTGATTGATTTAGCGCACAACCTTTACTCAAATTAACGGCACTTACTGCAGTGGATACGTGAATGTGAAAAACTTTGTTCAGGTACCGCGTTGGCACCAGAGATCGTAAGAAAATCGAATCGTGGTTATTGGCAATCGTGCTTTTACACCAGTGCAGTGGCGTAGCTGCCGAGAAGCGTGCAGGCGGTGCAACTGCACCGGGGCCCACGGGCCGGAGGTACCCCTGGCAGGGGGGGGGGGCTATGATGGGGGAGGAAGGTGGTGGGGCCCGTTTTATTCCTTGCATTTGGATCAGTGCCAACCGCGAGATGCCACTGCTGCCGCCGCCGCTGGTGGTTGTTTTCACCTGGATAATCCAGGGTGGGGAAGCTTGCAAATACTGAGATATTTCAGGTCAAGAGTTGGGTGCAGCAGTGGGCATTGCTGTTTGGACATGAAGCGGTTGGAGTAGTAACTTGTTGTAGGGGCTTGTTGCTCGTGTTGAACTATCTCGTTCTTTGTGTTGCTGCCGCCTTTATGATTTTTTTAGTGATTATAATTTGCAGCCCTTTACCCATTGCCTATCCACTCGTGGACGAAGGGCTCCCAATGTCGCGTGGATCATGTGGGGCTATTTGAACTTCATGCCGGTTGGTGCTGATTTATTAAGGTGGACTGCGGCAAGGGGGGAGTGGGGGGTGAGGGGATGACCGATTCCGATGTCGCTCACGAACTTGTTGCGCTGTCGCGTTCACTTGCCGACATTTGTTTAATTTGCGTAGGCTGAGTTGGCTTGAGCTCCACGCTCAGTGGGAGGTCGCTCATTTTCCTCCACTCCGCACAGGGTCTGTAAATTCCTCTGCCCCGGCCATCTGTGCCGTCGACTCTCAGCACCGGTTTAAGTCCAGTCTCAAGACCTTCCGCTTCTCCCTTGCCTATGACTCACTGCCTCTCTCTCTCTGAAATCTATATATAGAATAAATAAACCTACTGTTTCTGTACAGCGTCGTGGTATGCAGGCGCATTTAGAATCGATGTAAATCCACGTTGGTTTGCATGTAAATTTTCTGAGTTGATGGCTCAGTGCGTGAGGCTGTGGGCTTCTTTGTGAGTCTGTGGGTCTCGTTAGAGTCTATGGATTGATCGACTTCATTTTTCAAATAAAACTCCCCACTGTTTCTGTGCCGCCGCAGATCCACGCTGCATATTAATCCATGTTTGATGGCAACGTTATTCCATGGAGTAACGAAGGCCGATAAGGTGGCGTTTAAACCGAGCGAGCGGTGTGGGCGCTTGGGCCTGCCAGAGCGAGACGTGGGGGACGAGCGTACGGCGAGCACAGCCGTCTCTTTTACACCAGGCCGGCTTTGCGCCACGGGAGGAAGCATTCTACCCGCAGTGTGTCATGTTTATAAATGACAGCACGTGTTGCCGAGGAGGCTGGGTGCTGCTGAGTCAGCCCTTGGGTTTAAAAAAAAAAACCTGCTTTGGGAGTTATTCGAAAAATGCTCAATTTTCTGTCGCGTGCCACTGATTTTTGTGTCCTGGATCGCAAACACGCAGACGCCCGCCCTTGCGCCAAAATGCGCGCACATACTTGTTGTGGTCCTAATCTTAGATTATTATCAAATAATAAATTTCTGTTGGTGAGCTGTGGTACGGATTGTGCAGTGGAAAGCACACTGAGCGATATGTTTTGTTTACCGTGAGAATCATAATCAGGTCAATCAGAGCAGTGGCAGAGTACTTCGTGTGATGAGCTTATGAACTTGGCGACCTGAGTTCAATTATGGGATACGGTTAACATCAGTGGCGAGCGATATCGCAACAGAACCAGTCTTGATCCATCACCGCTCCTCCCTTCACCAACCTGCACTGCCAAACATGGTGAAGTGTGGTTAAACAATATCATCCACTTGAGCGGTAAATGGCCTTGGGAGGCCTTAAAACGACAATGCATTACGATGTGTTTTTTTAAAAATTGTATATTGATTTCACTTGGTTCTTTTGTTGCCTCCGCACGCCGCATTGCTCTTGACACGGCATTGGGAGATCCTCATCCAGCAGTGGATAGACAAAGAGGGTGCGAATTGTCATGATATTTTAAGACGGTTTGGCATCGACGTCACGGCACGGTGGCCGGCCGTGGCCAGCCCTAGCAAGGCGATCTGATACCCCCCCCCCCCCGCTGGGTTGTTTGCCTAGCACGCTGTTTCCGTGTGAAGCCAGGCACGAGATAAATAAGTTCACACCTCACGCCGAGCCTCCTTTAGCCCTCATTGATGAGTCCATTAAAGCCATCACAACGACGACGGCTTGGCGGGTGGAAACAGGTGGCTCCAGTTTGTGTTTCCTCGCGAGCTCCCTGCTGTACGAGTTCAGGGGTCGCATGCCTTTTCCGCGTGTCCCCTGGACATTTTTACACCTTTTCGGTTTCGTACGTACGTGTGAATCTGAGACTCTAAGCTTCGTCGAGAGAGGGGGGGGGGTGCTCACCGAAGTCGTGTTTTTCCGGCATTTTTTTTGTGTAATGTCAAAAGCGAATGACGCTCCTTTGCCGCTTTTCGGACAGCCTCGCTGACATCCACGCAAGCCTCCACACAGGTTATTGAATGGCTTCATAATCTCCTGGCTTAATAACACACAATTTCAGATTGCCATACGAAAAAATCTGAATCTTTACTTATCCCGCAACAATCCGATGAGCTATGAAGCTCTCTTTTTTACAGAAAGAAGTAGTGCCATAATGTGGTCTCCTTCAGCCCCGCTTCCAGGAATGAAATGGGAACGGGCCACAGTCCAATTTCGTACCCCCCCCCCTCTTAATTGTCTGGCACTTGGACTCTTCTTATCCAGTGGGCCCCGGTGCAGTTGCACCGCCTGTACACTCATTAGCTACGTCACGGAGTGAAGCCGTCTGTTGAGAGCTTTTGCATTTTCACAGTTGAGCTGGGGAGTTGTTATTTTAAATGTTCTAAAACACTCACGTGTGTGTGTTTGTGTTTCCCTCCAGAGATTTTGACTCGCTGGACAAGGACAATGTTTATGAAAACAACAAGCTGGTATGTCAGCTCGTGCACACCCGGGGGGAGGTGGGGAGGGGCGGTGGGTGTGGGGGGGACTGTGCAGCATGGCCCACATGGGGATTGTTTCCATCAGTGTTGTGCCACCACGTTCCCCACCGCAAGGCCGCCTGTGTGTGCCTCATGCTTGGACTGCCCGCCGTGCCGTACTTGTCCACCTCGCCTCCTCTCACAGACTCCAGTGGTCGTGTTGGTCGATTGTGTAAGCCCTCTGTGCGACCGCCCCTCCAGTTTGAGACTGGAGGCCCCGAGTGGCCTTGTCTGAACTGGTGCCAGCGAACTCGGCCTACGGAACTGTCCTCCACCGCCATCCCCCACCGCGAATCGATTAAGATAATTCACTTTTTTTTGTCTTGTTATCGTTTTCCAGCTCGGGTTGAAAACGTAAATGCGTCCGTTATGTCTGCGTGTCTGTTTGCACAAAAGCACGCCGAAGATGAATCTGGTGACCGTGATCCAATATAAATGAATACTCCTCGTGTAAAATTGCGTTGGCTGTTTGAGACTTTAACTCAACGGCAAAACTTGGCTACAAAAAACCGACGCGAAAAACTATTTTATGGTTTCATTACGAGCGGCGTCACCTCGAAATGTCGCACGCCACGTGCTCACCACCCCTCTCCATCACTTGACTCTGTGTGGCGTTTCTTAAGGAACACGCGTGTATGCCGTTGGTTGCAAGTATATGTGTGTGTGTATGCCGCCAGTTGTAAGCATGAGCGCGTGTGTGCTACTGGTTGTAAGTATAAGTGCGTCTGTGCTGCTGGTTGTAAGTATTAAGCGTGTGCCTGCGCGTATGTTGATGCACGCGTGTGCCGCTGGTGTTGCTGCGCAGGCTTTTGAGGTTGCGGAGCGGGAGCTGGGCATCCCGGCGCTGCTCGACCCGAGCGACATGGTGAACATGGCGGTGCCCGACCGGCTCAGCGTACTCACCTACGTGTCGCAGTACCACAACTACTTCTGCGGCAAGCAGACGGGTGCGTCGTCGTCCCGCCGCGGCGGACGCTGCCCCAACGCGGCGCGGCAATGCGTAGCGTTGCCCCGGACCTGCGATGCGCGAGCGCTGGGTGTACGCGTGTGCGTGCACAGCTCTGCTCAACCCTGCTCGGTTTCCGAGCAGGTAGCATTCTGGGTAACGGGGGCTTGTACCGATTCACTCCGTGGGCGATTTGAACGGCTGTCACGATTCAAGGACGATTCGGTGAATGGAATTTGTTTACCTTTACGTATTTTTGTTGGGGGGGTTTTTTTCCGTACCGCCTACATAAAAACCATTATAAGCAATGTAAACAATACGAACGAGGAGACGAGAAGCAATAATAAAATTAAATCACGTCGATTCCACCCCCTCCCCCACCTCCACCAAATCGAGATATTCAGTAACGAATATCTGAATCGGCCCTGGGCCTCTGCTAGGTTAATTACCCGTAAATGACTACTTGGTAAGGTGTGTAAAACATTAATCAATCACTGGTGCTTATTTGAGTCATGCCATGTTTGGTCCGTACATAGTGCGCCTATGTACTTAGGCGTGCATGTAGGAAGCTGTTTACTGACCTCGGTCACGATTTACAGCGAGCCCGCGTCTGATTTACAGCACCACCCTGGCAGCGTTGGCAGCGTTAACGAGCGCCGCTGAATGCCGAGCTGGCGCAGCGGTGATTGCGGACGAATAACGAGCGCGTGCCTGGCTCCGCGCAGTGCATGTGGCGGGCATGTGCGACGTCATGTGACGAGCGGGAATCCTGCAGCTCCCGAGGAGGAAAAAGAAAAACAAGAACGGGAAACCTGACCCTAGTACAGTACGAACTGTACACCCCATTTTTCCGCCCTTGATATCCTCCAAACGGCTTCTCCGTCGCTGGCCTAGTCAAGTCGGGCCACGTTGCGCCGGAGCCTGTGGCCCTACACCGACACGTCGAGTCGTGGATTCAAATAGATTATTGTTATTTCGCTCCGCGCCTCGTGCACCGAATTGTACGCATGTATGAATTTGTGGTTGCCGATTCCTTCGTAAGGCGTGAGTGTAATTGGTTCGTGCGAACCCTGCAGCCTGCTAGAGGCACTCCGTTCAACATAGTTTGGGGGGGAAGATGGGGGCGGGATCCCAATTGATTTCTAGAATCGAACCGGGACCTTGGATCGAGGAAATTAATTGAACAGGTGGAGGAGGTAGGGTGCGTCGTCAAAATACACTGCGCGCATTTGATGGCGAACGTGAGAATCGGTTAATTACATTGACTGAAAATTATATGCCAATGAGGCAAAGTGCGTGTTAGGGGATAAGTGTGCAGTGTGTGGTGGGAGAGTTGTTGAGTTTGTGAGAGGAGTATGTGTGAAGGTGAGTGCAAGGTGGTCAGTGTGTGAGAGAGTGTGTATGAGGGGGATTGTACAAGGGGGGGTGGGGGGGGGAGGAGTGTGTTAGAGGAGTGAGCTAAGAGAGTGTGAGGCCAGGGTCGGGATTGCCCTGTGACCTTGGTTCGGTGTGGGAGTTGTGTCAGATCTGCCAGGTGCCTGTGCCCACACCTGGCTCCGCTGCCAGTGCATGCAATCGCTGTTTACTGGAGCGCGGAGGTCACTCACTAGTCGTGGTGGAGCCTCTGTGTGTGAGCTGTTGTTGGTGTAGGTCAAGAGTGAGGGCAGGAGACTGTGGCATCCTTGTTGTCAACGTTTGTTTTCCACGGTTCCTGTATGCTCTGTGTGTGGGATGCGGGGAGCGGGAGTGTAGTGGTGAGCGCACTTGGATGCGAGCGCGGCCACTCCCGTTCATGGCTAACATCAGTAACGAATATCTGAATCGGCCCTGGGCCTCTGCTAGGTTAATTACCCGTAAATGACTACTTGGTAAGGTGTGTAAAACATTACTTCTGGGAAGACAAAAGTACGGCTGGGAATGGTACTAGCCCCACCACCTCCTTGTGATTCATGCCTGCCTTAATAAGCGCTTGCGAACAACACTATCCCTCAACATTCTGTGCGTCTGTAAGGGGACCTTTGTCTTTGTTTGTCGCCCGCTCAGCACTGGGAAGCTCTGAGCCTGGTGCCCGGGTCGCCACTTCGCCGTCGCTCAAACCGATCCAGGACGCGACGGAGGAGGGGGCGACGACGATCGTGGTACAGCTCCCACACACGGCACGCACAGCACGCACGGCGCGCACGGCACGTTCCTTACTCTGAAAGCTCGTGTATAAGAAGTACTCGAGGCCAGATTTCGCTTGCTGCGAAATGTTCGTTTTCATGCTGTTTCTTTCTTGCGAAAACAAATTGCCAGTGTCTCTACTTGCCAACATTGAGTGAAATCGCCAAAGCCAAAGTGTTTCGGCCGTTTTACCAACACGTGATTCTGGCATTGGAAGGGTTACATCATGGGAGGGGGCCAGGTCGCTTGAAGGTCAAGAGCACTGAGCCTGCACTGCTGAGATCAATCAGTACCACTCCGGCCCAGTCGCCTGTGATTACACCCGGCGGTTCAAGGGTCGTGAGTTGATGAGCTCAGGCTCGCTACCAATGACTGCGCATTTTAACGCATCACATTTCAGCTACGAGAATTCAAGATATCGGTTTGGCTGGCATGTCTGTATGTACGTTGAACTTGTTTTGCACAGTACGTAGCCAACCGTGTTAATGGGAGGTGCAAGGGAAGGACACCAAACTAAACGCAAAAAGCATGAGACACACAATGCTGTCTGGAGCAGAAGCGGTCCAGACATTTCACAAAGATAGCTCTGTGCCACCCTCTTGCATGGGTTGGTTTCTGTCGCTGCTCTGTGAGAGATCCTCACAAATGATTTGTCTCGTGACATTGCACCGAAAGTAGAGTCGGGACGAGGCTTCGCTGTATTTTGTTAATGGCAAACGAGAGGCCTGAATGAATAGTCCAGGGAAGTGTGGTGGTTGTAGGTTTTTGTTCTGTGCCTCGGTGCTGTGCCACGAGGGAGTGCGGCCTGTTATTAGTTACTCGCGTTCAGGTGAAACGGGAGTGTGCGCGTGTTGCGGTGCCCACGTTCAATGAGCCCCTTCATTGCTTCAATGGCGGGGTCCGCCTTGGGCTCCCCTTCGCAGCGGCGGGGGATGAAGGCGGTCATTCCGCTCACGTCGGCTAGCGATCCAGAGTCTCCTGGCTCCTTGTGGCTTCTCTGTGACCCCTCACAATGAACCCTGTGTCCATTCACCCAAGCGTGAGTGACGGCCACTGTGCGGTGATTTATTTATATTATGTAAAAAATATAAAAATATATGCTGCAGAAAAGGCTTCTGATTTATATTCATACGTTTTTTTTGGAAACTGATATAAGGAGTTATATTTAAGTGTTTGAACCCGCACGTGGTTGTCCATTAAAGGTCTGCCGCTGGCGCTTGCTCCACTGCCAGACTGTATTGGTCGGCGTTTGAAAAGGAAGTGTTTTTCTGCCAGGACTGACATGGTCACGATAACATCGTGATGCCCATTTAGCTTTGGCGATGAACCCCTTGTGTGTGTGTGTGTTTACCTTTGAACCCGATAACCACAGTCCAGTTCCCAGCTGTTGATAACATCAGAGGCTTTCATCCAACAGTAGAATGATCACGTCTGATGATGAAACTGTGTATGTGTGACCCCCTCGTGCGCCGTACCGTCCTTCATCGGTGCTTGCTATCAGTACTTGCCCCAACAATATGGTGACGGGTATATGGGAGATCCTTGTCTTTATTTACGTGTTGAGGTGGGGCCAGCGTTGGAGGGAGGAACCAGCAGCACCAGCAGCAGCACCAGCAGCAGCAACAGCAGCAGCAGCGCGGGTCCCAGCTCCAGCACCTGCTGCCTGTGCCAGCGCCACGTGCACCTGGTACAGCGCTACCTGGTCGACGGAAAGCTCTACCACCGCAACTGCTTCAGGTAGCAGAGCTGCCATGGGCGGCGCTCTCAACATCGCGGCCGGTGACGCGGTGGCCCAGCGCTGGCGCGTTCGCCCGAAGCCAGCGGCGGCAGCCCTGGTTATTTCTGACCGTTTAAAATACACGACGCGCCGTCTGCTTAACGCGCAGCGGACGTTAAAGATCCCGTGACGCCAATTCGCAAGCGCGGGGGCAGTTGCTTGCCAGGGTCATGGTGCAAATTTTTGCCAAATTAAAAAAAATCACCGCAAAATTACTAAGTTGGTATTTTCCACAGCAGTCATCGGCCCTGTACTCTGATGGCTTGACAGGACTCTCCAGAAAACAAGTCATGGGTAAAGAGGTGTAATAATAATAATCGTCGCAGGAGGTTTGGTGGCTGAATTTGGGAGTTAAATACCATGTCTCAGATAGAGCCAGTGCACCTCTGATAACTTGGGTTCAAATCCAGGTTCCAGCCATTCGTGATTAAACCAGTTTGTCAAGTGTAGTGAGTTGATGATCTCAGCCAGGCTTGCTGTGATCTGGCGATTACTAACATATGTCGTAATATACATAAGATCCGCAATTATCGTATATCATTCACTTTTCAAAGTATCACTACATCTTTGCAAGTTTTTTTTTTTTACATCTCGTGTCCTGATCAAATATCAGCAACATGAAAAGTGCCTTTTATTGTCAGTTTCGAAATAACACACATCTCAGTAGTTGTATTCACGGGTAGTTCTCCCCTCTTCTGATCTTGTGAGATACCTGATATGTCCTGGTTTTTTTGTACCTCCAAGGTGGCAACCCTAGGTAAGGTGGGTAGTCACACATGATTGTGTGTGACACATGATTGTGTGTGACACATGATGGTGTGTGACACATGAGTGTGTGTGACACAATCGCACATGATTGTGTGATTGTGTATGGGTACTCCCACCTCTTCCGTGATGTCTGGACGGCTTGGAAGAATAGTCCATATACCCTCTAGAAGGGCTGTCCAGAGCTCCATGCAGTGGGGGAGGGCCTTGCACATGCAGTGACGTGAGCAAGAATTTGCAGGGCCTCAACTTTACTTCTTACAGTCGATGTTCGTACCGTCACTTGTTTGACTTTGCCGAGTCCGACACGTTCCTCCGTTGCCATGTATGTGCAGCGTGCTATAAACGTTCAACTTCAAACGGGTGTGCTCGTGTATTTGCGTGATCAGCGTGTTGCTATTTGTGTGTACCCTGGCTATAAAATGCTTGCTAGTTAAAGTGTTTTTCATCATCATCATCATGATCTTCTTTAGCCATGGCTTGTCAATTTCTGGATAAAGGCCCCCTCATGCTGCTGTAATCTCTCACTGTCCCAAGATGCAGTGATCCATTTAACTTTTGCACACGCGAGCTGATTTCATTGCTCCATCTCCGGGGTGGATGCCCTCTCAGGCGTTTTCTCTCCCTTTGACTGCCACTCCAGCATTCGTCTCAACCACCTCTGCCGTCACCCATTGTATTAGTACAATATCTCTAACTTGCATTTCATCATCATTATCATCATCGTTATTATTAACGTCGGTTTTAAATTGGAGGTTGGAGTGCTTTTTGCATATGCATGTATGTTGAACTTCTTTTGCACTGTACGTAGCCAACCATGCTAATCGGAGGTGTGGGGAAAGACAACAAACTAAACTATAAATATGCATTGCATATTTAACTATAAATATGCATTGCATATTTATAGTTAATGACTCCTTGCCACAGCAGTGTGGGTGGGCCTCAGCTGGCAAATCTCTGCCTCTTTCTTTGTGTGCAGGTGCAAGGACTGCTGTAACACGCTGCTGCCCGGCACTTACAAGCTGGGCGCAGACCCCGGGACCTTCGTGTGCACGCACCACCGCACGCCCAGCCACCTGTCCCGGCGGCCGCCGTCTGTCCGCCCACCCCGACCGCCCCAACCACCCGCCGACGTCAAGTCCCCCGACTCGGGCCCCAAATCGGATCCCAAATCGGAGACTAAAGACGCCGAGATGAGGAGCAGCAGCAGCAGCGGCAGCAGCGGCAGCAAGGTAGACGTGGACCCGAGCCGGCCTCGTCCCGATGGTCTGGCTGACACCCGCGGCCCCGAAGGAGCAGAATTATCCCAAAACCACGGCTCAGAGTGGCCTTCCCACACCAGAGCGGAGTCTCTGACGGACCCAGAAAGCGCTTGCCGCTTTAACGGCGATGGTAGAGGAGAGCGGAGCGGAGGGGAGGAGGGCGTCGGAGGCAAGGAGGCGGCGAGCACCACCACCACCCCCCCCACCGTGAATGGAGTGCAGGCACCGCTGGGGAGCGAGCCAGACGCCCAAGGGTTAGAGGACGCATGCGGAACATCGTTTGCCGCGGCAGCGGGAGGAGAAAAGGGGGGCGAGGCGGCCGATCGTAGCACACCGCCCGCCGAGGACAAGGCCGCCACACCCGGCGGACCGGAGATGACGGCGTCCGGTGGAGAGACGTCTGGTGGTTTTCCCGAGGCGTCGAGCGGTGAGGCCGATTCCGGCACGGCCGAACGGAATCGTTCGGCGGCGGAGGAGAGGAGCGAAGGGGAGGGCGCTGCGGAAGGCCACGGACACGCCTCTGTCCCCACCCCCGCCCCGAGGAGGAACACAGAGACACCGTCCCCCAGCACGCGGCCTGTGCCAAAACCACGGGGCCACGCGGCGGAACAAACAGGTAAACGATTCTAGCGCTTGGCGCAAATCGAGAGACACGCATTGGGCAGAAAAATGCCTGCAGGCTGGAGTAATAATAATTATATTAATGTACACAATGGTTTTCCATTATTATCTTGGCAACCAAAGTTGTCCTGCTGGCGCCTAGAATGATCTTGGTAGTCTAAACCCAGGGTTGTGTGCATTGTAGACATACAGTGCCTTGTACGGTTCAGATGTACGTCGCGCTTAACTGCCAACGCGTCCCCAGAAGCTGCACACACACAGTGGGACGTGCATCCTGGGGAAAACAAGAGGCCTTTTATTCGCTTAGATCCTTTATCATTATTTTTACTCGTAATTTTTTTTTATATAGATGAGACAGTCATGCATAGGCAGAGGAAAAGGTGAAGGTCATGACCCTGGGAGTAATTAGGAGCCGAGAACTTGGCAGCACGAATATCTGGTAGAGGGGAATTTCAGTCTGTGGGGCACGGCCACTGTGGGTGTTGTGGTGTCTGCCAAACAGCCCCGGCGTGTTTTAAAACAGCTACAAGACACGCACCACATTTTATACAAAAATCCTGCTGTTTTTGAGCCTTGCTTCTTTTTCCTCTCCCTTCAGTAAGTAGATATAATTGTTGATTGTGCCGTTGACTGTAGGCTCAGTGTCGGGTCGGTGGCGGGTAGTTGCGTAGACTTAATTTAACATCAGCGCAGTATAACTCCTGTTATCCGTGACGAAGTTGGGGGCGAACATCACGTATCTTATCTATATTCTAACCAACAACCACGGGGAAACCATTCGCTAGTAGGACACCCCCAGGGTCAAAACTGTGGCCGTGTGACCCTGGACTGCACGGGAGAAGGAGCGACCTCCCACCGAGCAGATCAGCGCACAATCGATCGGCAAGGGGAGCAGATGCAGCGAATTAGCGCGAGCGCCGCCTTCGCGCGTGTTTTCTGTGTACGTTCAGGCTCGACGGCGGCGCTTCCCGTGCCGCGACCCCGCAGCATGGCGGCGCCCATCTCCCCGCCGTGGTTGTCCCTGGTGGGGGCCGAGTCCCGCAAGCGGCCCGCGCCGCCCCCTCCTCCGCGCCCACCTGGCCTCAACGCTGGCGTCAGGAGCCCCAAGCCGGCGCTTCCCGGGAAACCCGCTTCCTTTCGCAAACCGGACGACCTCGCCGCTCGCGCCGCGCGCCCACCAGCGGCTGCGTCGTCAGAGCGGAACCCGGAGCCGTCCGGCGGGGCGCGACTCCGGCGCGAGGGCAAGAGGCAAGAGGCCTCGTGGTACAACCCTTTCGAGGAGGAGGACGACGACGATAAAGGCGACGAGAAGGGGACCGGCAAGGAAACGGAAAAGTCCGAACGCAGCGAGGCGGCTGCCGAAAATGGGCACGCGGGGACGGGGTCAGAAGGTTTGGGAAGCGGATCCGACCTCGCCACGGGTGAGGTCGGCGTGAGCTCGCAGGAGGACGGGGAGACGGGGAACCTCAAAGTGGCCGACCACCCTTGGTACCGCATCACGCCGACCGGGAGTCCGCAGACTCGGAAACGGGTTGCACCTGCAGCACCCGGTACGCCCGGCGCAGTCCCAAAACCCTGTTTCACGAGCATTTGTGGTTTTTCCTCTGAAATCCCTCGCAAATGATGGGGCTACGCTCAAAACTTCGCACGGACAGATTGAAGAACCCTTTTCTATGATGTTACATTTAACTCTCGATTGTACGTGGGCTGATTACCCGGGTTGCAGATGAGCCGTGCCTCGGACAAAATAAATAACGTGTCTTTGCGTGTGAGGTGTGTTAACTGTAAGCTGCCCCCTCTCTAGTAATACAAACATACTAATTTCTTGTGCCCCCCCCCCCCCCCCCCATTCTATTCAGATAAATGCATATTCTTTGGGTCTTTCGGTGAAGTCATGTAGATATGTTCAAAGAAAATAGCAAAAAACTACGAGGTTTCGATCGCAACACAAGCGGTCGTCATCAGGAAAAGGGGGTTGGCTTCTAAAGGCAAACTGTTTATAAAGGTTAAAAAAATGGGCATAGCCAAAGTGTCAACAGCATGAGCGGGGTAGCTAATGTTAATGTGAAGGATTAAAAACGGTATGCCCTAGCATGTAGGGTGGTGCTAGAATGTGATGTAGGGCATTGTGAGAGGTGATGGTAGTAGTGGGCAATGATGGTGCTGGTGGTGGGTTTCCACCAATTAAAAAGGGCTGCCAAGTAATCATTGCATCTCGCTTTACACGCTCATGCTGGTGACGGTAGAGGTTGCTGCTAGAGGTGATGGAAGTGCCCACTACGACCATCACCTCTTACAGCGCCCGACATCACCTTCTAGCACATATCTACGTGACTTTACAGAATGACCCAAAGAATATGAATTCCTGGAGTCACGAAAGTTTTAAGTCAAGATGCATGTTTCACATTATCGGTGTTTTTACGTGGGACACCCCTCCACCACGTTGCTCCGGGTAACTGAGAGTTGACCGTGTCCCCTGGTGACTCGCTATGTTTTTCAACAGGGAAGCGATTGCCCGGATGCTCTTCCCAGCCGTCGACGCCGCCGACCGCACGCTCGCTAGCGCGGGGACCACCCCCCCCCAGGCCCCGGTCCACAGAGCCCCCGCTCACGGCCTCTGAGACGTCACTGAGCGTCGCTCGTTATGTAGCCGAGCCCGCGGGCCCCTCCAAACCCTGCAGCCAATCGCAACCGGCGCTGTCCGCGCCGGCCGACGCTGCCGCCGCCCCCGTAGAAGTGCCGCCACCCGTCGCGGCTGCGGCCGCCCCCTCAGCAGAGGACTCCCCCGAGATCCCGCAGCACGAGGTCAAGCCCGCAGCGCCGGACTCGCCGGACGGGGCCCCGCCCACGAGCGACGCCCCGCCCACGCCATCGCAGGCCACACCCCCTCCACGCCCGGCCACGTCCCCCGGCCTGCTGGTGGCCAATGGGACCTTGAGCGCGGCCGCAAGCCCCGCTCACTCGACGGGAGACACGCCCCCTCCTCGCCCGGCCACCGCCCCCACGCGGCTGCCACCCCAGCCTCCTGGCACGCCCAGCGCCCAGCAGAAGGTCAGGGACGCCCCTCTACGTGTTGAGCCGTCAGTCCTTTTGTGGCGTGGTGCGAGATGAAAGTTCTGCTCCTGTCGCACGACTTTGTCGGCTCTTGCCGTTGTGCTGTACAGCTCGCCGATGTGCGTTTCTGGTTGCACTGTGCATTGTTCTGCATAATAATGATAAAATATATAATGGTTTACTTGTGTCTTCAGGAAAGCCACCAAGCAGGTCCTGCATTAAGTGTCTTGACAACATTGTGTGTTTAAAATGTATGTGGAAAGAAACAAGAGTACCCAGGAAAAAAAACATACATACGCGCAAGGGGGCAACGCTCTATCCCAGTACAGATTTAAACAGATGGCAATTCGTCCACTTGCTTTACTGCCTTCTGGCGAGCCAGGGTATCGCTCCACAATCCCCACAGGAAGGCAGTTTCACAACATTTGTGCGATCCACCAACCATCGGCTCTACAGCACTCCACGTTCCGCTCCACGTGCTGGGAGCTTCTTCAGGAGCTGATTTCTGGAGTTACTGAAGAAGCTCCCAGCACGTATGAGCGAAACGTCGGACATCGTGCCAAACAACATGGTGGGGTACCACCTGAAAGCGCGTGTAACTGTCCTGTTTCTGAAAGTAACTTGCCAAAGGGTTTTTAATCAAGTTGTGTAATCTGACCAACACAATTATATACTCTTAAAGCCTTTTGACCAAATCACCCCGGAATGTGCCTATAGTCTCATCAGATCTCAGAAGCTAAGCCGGTTTTAACCTGGATAGTGCTTCATTGGGTGACAACCATTCACAGCTAGTTGCTAGAGGCCGCTGATGATACTGTTGTGGGGTTACATAGTGGGCAACAGCAGTTGGCAGTGCAGCACAATCCAGTGTTGTACTGTGCTTCTAAGCCCTCACATCTTTGTTACCCGCCTTCCCATACCGGCTCTGACCAGCGTGGCGAAGTATGGTCAAACAGCCCCCCACGACCCAGCAGTGAATTGACAAGGGGCTGTAATGTCTTTACTGTAGGAAGCGCAAAGTAGCTGCAGGCACTGTAAAACAATTCTCGCTGCGCAAGTGCACGGAAATCCGCGGAACCCCGCTGTGTACCGTTCTCCTTTGCAAGGATAGGCAGCCCCGACGAAGTGGGAGAAACCCGTGTTACTTTTCACAGAATTCAGCTGTTTGTCAGGAATGTGGCGGCGGCAGCTCAAGTCTCCACGTGGTCTGAGCAGCTGTGGGATTCGGTCGGATGTCCCGAGGGCCACGTAAAGCTGCTGGCGTTTTCCCCACTCAGTCCGCCGTCGGAGTGACGGGTTGGTGTCTACGCCGCTGCATTTCTCATTATTGTGATCTCACCCCGCCCGGCTTCGCTTGTCTTTCGCTGCTCCCCCCCCCCCCCCCTCCGCGTGACCCCTCCCAGACGATCTGCAAGGAAAATCCCTTCGACAGGAAGCCGCTCGTTACATCCTCCTCCCCGTCAGCTGCTCCGGCTCAGAGAAAATCCCGGAACGGGCCGAAGCCGCGCCGGCCCCCGGCACCGGGGCACGGCTTCCCCATTATCAAACGCAAGGTGCGATCGCTCGGCCGCTCGCGCCATAGAACTTCGACGTTTGTTTTTTCGCGGCGCGTATAGAACCGCGTTCCAACCATCGCACCTCCGATTGGCACGGTTAGCTATGTGCGATGCAAAAAGAAGCTCAACTTGCATACATACATAGATAGTGCACGGCAGCCACGGCGATATCGTATACCGTTGGAACGATTACGAATCGCTCGCAGTGCGACTGCGGATCACCGATCTGAAACCACGAACCACACGGCGATGCCGCTGCCCGCTTCCATAATCCGCCGGCAGCGTTTCAGATATCCGTCGGGCTGATACTCCCGCACATTTAGTCGAGCGGCATGTCGCGTGTGGTGGTGGGGGTAAAGTGTGGGTGCTCCCCACCGCTTCCAAAAACGTCTGTTCAGCATGGAAGAGTAGGCCAATTTTTACCCTCTCTTATGAGTTGAAGCCCTTCCACCGGCAGTGGTGACAAGTCCACTGCTTACGCCGTCCATGGGGTCGCAGGGTTTGGAGGGGCTCGCGGGCTCGGCTACATAACGAGCGACGCTCAGTGACGTCTCAGAGGCCGTGAGCGGGGGCTCTGTGGACCGGGGCCTGGGGGGGGGGTGGTCCCCGCGCTAGCGAGCGTGCGGTCGGCGGCGTCGACGGCTGGGAAGAGCATCCGGGCAATCGCTTCCCTGTTGAAAAACATAGCGAGTCACCAGGGGGCACGGTCAACTCTCAGTTACCCGGAGCAACGCGGTGGAGGGGTGTCCCACGTAAAAACACCGATAATGTGAAACATGCATTTATCTTGACTAACTTCCCGGCATCGGCAATCAACTCCCCCCACCGTACAGAAGACGAAGCGCTGTTCTCGCGTTGCCTTTCCATTTGTGCCCGAGGTTGCATTGCGACATTCGTTTCCTGGATTCGCTCTCCGTTGAAGCGAGCTACGTGCCATGTGGTTTTTTATTTTGTATTTTTCTGCTTGCTGCGTGCCAAGGCTAGGCCGACCCTTTAGTGTAGGGATGCTGTTTTACTCTCAGCCATCTGTAAGATTACAAAGTCACAATTATTTGTAATTTATAGCCTCCCTTTGTGAGCCCACATTTCCTATACCCAGCTCACTCATGTGATCGGCTGGCCACTCAATTTTCAATTATTCTGTTCTCAGTGACCTTGATGAACGGCTCGTGGCGGGCGCAATAAGAGGGGGCGAATTGGCCCCCATAGGTCTTCCCGTCGGTCGTATCGCGCTCTCTCTCCGCATAGCAGGGCGACCGAGCGAGGCATCGGTCCGTGAGCGAGGAATTTCATTAAACGTAGGCAAAAAAAACTATAGTCACTTTCCACAACATCGCCAACTTATTGAGTGTGATGTATCTGTCAAGAGAGAGACAGAATCGACAAACACGCCAGCCTATGTGCGGACCAAGGGACAGCGGTTATGCAGGGCAGGCCAGGGTCGGAATTACTCATGAAAGAGGTGAATGAGAGCAAGTTAGAGTGTATGTGAGGAGAGCTGAACTCAACAGTTTAGTTTATCTCCATATATATAAAAGGCAAAGTTGTGATTATGTGTGTCTGTTCAAAATGTTTAGCGTACTTCCCGACATGCAACAAACTTGAAATTTGCCATGTGGGTACTTTCCAGACTGTACACCGTGCAAAAATTATAAAAATACACTTGTATTTTTTTTGGAGGGGGGCTGGAGCTCAGTAATGCTTATATTTTTTGCACGGCAAGTGAGCTGTGACGTCAAATCTCTCACGTGACCCGCGCATGTGGAAGCGTAGCGCATTGTAGTGTAGCGGTTAGCACGCTACGCTACGAACCCGGCGACCCGAGTTCGATTCCCGCTCATGGCCACCACCGCTGACGATTATTTGAACCGGACCTGGGCCTCCCCTAGGTCGACTCAGCCTCAAACGAGTAACTGGTGTGGTGTGTGAACATCGCCACTGGGGAGACAAAGGCGGCCGGGCGTGGTGAATCCAAGTCCCGGGCGAAGCCGGGTAGGAAAGCTAGTATTTGATATTCTTAGCCATAATTATTAACCAGAGAGATTGAAATCAGTATATAACTTGGTATATATATGCTGATTATCGATGTTGGTGAGTTGTGTGTGTACACACACACATCTAACTGGATATGAGATGTTTTACGACTTTGATCGTTACTGTTTGAGATGTGTACACACACACACATATCACTGGATATTAGATGTATTATGACTTTGATCGCTACTGTTTGATGCTGGGTGGTTTTGACGTTTTTGGGCCTTTGTGCCCCATCCTCAGTAACCGTGTTTTATTAAATACGGTAAGTCCTCGCTTAACACGTATCACGCGAGAATGTGTTTGCGCTGCAACTCGCTTCTTCCATTCGGGGACACTTTCTGCACGACGCGGACCACGCGCCCCGTTATAACACGGAACCTATGACTGTTACAATTCTGGAATGCGCACTGTTACAATTCGGTTTCTGTATGAATGCATGTATGTTCGACTTGTTTCGCACCGTACGTAGCCAACCGTGCTAATCGGCGGTTCGGGCCGATGACGAACTACTTTCTTGATCTGCGCAGCTGAGCGCTACAGCGATACAGGACGCAGAAAGATGCAGTAAAGCGGCAGCGTACCCTCAGTTATTTGTCTCGCCTTCTTACTGTGTGCGCACTTACGCCGTAACTCGCCAGACTTTATCGTGACATCATTTATGGGCTGACCGTTCTTATTTAACGCGCTTTTATCGCTTTCCGCGGCACTTTTCAAGAACGCATCTACCACGTCCAAGCGACCTCACTGGTGGCTTAGTTTAGCTCGCGAGCAGCTGGCACCACGTGTGTGTGTGCGTGCGCGCGCGCGCAGGTCCAGTCTGGGGAGCCGGTGCCAGAGGAGGAGATCCAGAGCGAGCTGGAGCGCATCGCTAGGCAGCTGGACCGGCTGGAGCGACAGGGCGTTGCCATGGAAACCAGCTTGCGCCAAGCGGACGGAGGTCGGTGTTGACGAGTGTTTGTGCCCACCGAAAGGGGCGATGCGAGAAAGGCTCTGATCTTGTAGATGCTAAACTTGGGCTCTCACGAGTGTTAAACCTTGTCGATTATTGTTTTGGGTTTTATGGTACGGAAAACCTAAATGGCTCTCTTGGTACGTGATGTCACATCAGGCTGGCAGTACAACAGTTATTCCCGTTATATGTAACGGTGATATTCTTAGCCGTGGTAAAACCACTCATCTGCTTGGCACGTTAATCTGATCTGAACTGTCATGTGGAACTCCTGCACACATCTGAATTCTGGAGTTACTTCTAAGACATCTGGCCAGCGTGGAAGAGAAGGCCAAGTACCCTCTAGAGCTCCCTCTAGTGGAGGCCCGTCCACCGGCAGTGGTGCTTAGCATAAGAATGTCTGGGCTGTGCCTTGACCCTTTACCTTTGAGGACACACTGTATGTACGTACGAGAGCCATTCGCATTTTGGGTCGTGCCGTCCGTCAACTGCCTCCTTAACTTTACTCACCCGGGGCGGTACCGTCATCGACACGCCCAAACGTTGACTCCCTGCACCTCCCCCACCACCTCTTGTCTCCCCACCCCGGCTACCAACTCGCCCTCCCACACGTCTGACACCACGTTACCCGCAGCACTTTACGAGATTTTCTTGAAAATATTTTCCAACTGGATTGCGATTCTCAGAAAAAATATTTGTAACGAAATAAAATCCAGCCCAGTGAGCCAAAGTTTCCTCCTCCACGAACCCCCCCCCCCCCCACCACTACTGCTGTGTACCCCCAACCTCTGCCGATCCCTTGCGTTATGGGAACCACATGCTCGCGGCATCTGACTTTGCCGGTAACCACGAGAGTCGCGGCGATTCTACGATAAATCTCATACGTCACCGATAAAGGCGCAGCCCTGCAATTGCTCGCCCGTGCCTCCGCTGGCAAAAGGGACTCTCTTAGAGGGAGCTCCAAACACACGCGGAACTGTGCGGCATGAGCGAAAATCCACGCTGTGGCCACTGCTCTGCTCGCTCTGCGTTCAGAGACGCGGCTTTGATGTGTGACATGTGTTTTGTATCAGCGGGGCGGTTGCTTCCATTTGTGGGGAACGAGCACGCTTATTTATTTTTTATGTTCCGTATATTTCATTACTTTTAATCGCTGGTAGCTGGAGGAGTGCTGCATTGTAGGGTTTTACCCTTGCCTCTGTGTTTGAAGGTCATGGGTTTGAAACCAGCTTCAGCCGCCAGACTGTTTGTGTTCTGCCCGCATGTGCCATGTGAACTGGGTGTGATTGAGTAATGTGCCCCGTGCTACAAAACAGAACCGCAGTCTTTCTCTTTGGAACCGCCACTAGTAGTATTGCCTCATGTAACTAACGCATCGTCTTTTTTTACAGCAGCCTCCCAATTGGCCGCTGCAATTGGGTTGGAACCCACCGTGGAGAGATTACGTCGACTCCAACGTATTCACCGTGTTCTTAAGCGCACTACGAACCCGGCAAATTGGGTCAGTTTCCAGGCCGCAGCCAACATGAGTGGTCCTGCTCCACGCTTAGGCCGACTCGGCCTTAAATGAGTAGCGGGTACGGTGCGGTTTTTTTTTTTCCGGCCGCACCACCCACTCGCGCGCCAATTCCAACCTTAACGTGCGCTCGCCAACGGCGCTTGTCTGAAAACACCGCGCGGTGGGCGGGGGGGGGGGATCTTTGTCTTTGTAGAGGAGGGCGAGAATCCGATGATGACAGACTGGTTCAAGTTGATCCACGAGAAGCATCTGCTTCTGCGCCAGGAATCTGAGCTCATCTACATGTGAGTACACCCACCGTGCGGGGTCGGGCCCCCCCCCCCCCCCCCCCCAACTGGTTCCTCTTTGCTTGTCGCCGTCTGCAGGACTCCTTATTAAGATTAGCGATTGCCCTCTGGCGGTTCCCTCCGGCGATGTGGTGCAGGAAGGGCTGCTTATTCCATGCGGGCCTGATGAGGTGGGGGGGGGGGTGCACAGTGGGTCCGTCCGTACCAGAGGACCGGGCTCAAAGGGGCCCTGCGTTTTACATGGATGCGTTTACTTTTTTTTTGTACCGCACATGGCAAGCGAGAGGAGCTTCCCAGTCGGCATGCAGCATCAACCGTGTTGTTTAAAGCAGCTCGGGGAAATGGCGGAACACCACAGTGAACGTCAAATAAAACCTTGAACAGACGTTAAGGCAGAATGGGCGACGATGCGATCTGTTTTTTGGCTGCCGTGCGTTCTGTCCGAGGAACGGCTGCAATGCCCATCGTGTAGTTGCCGCGATTTTTGTGCCGACGTATTTTGACTTGGGACTGTAGAAAATGTAGCCTTCGGCAGGCGGCGCCCGGCCCCCTCCAAGCCGCAGTAAAATGGAACCACTTTGTGGTTTACACGTTTGCGTCACCATCCGTGAGCGCTTGTTTACTCGTATGCGCGTGCACGTGCGGCTCTCCGGCTTTTCACACGCGCCATTTACACGTTATGGGACGCGCCCACTGCCTCTGGTATTTTCAGCTGGTAATGTGGGGATTTGTGTACGCAGATCCAAACAGCAGATCCTGGAGGAGCGACAGGGAGACGTGGAATTTGAGCTCCGGCGCCTGTTCAACAAACCCGGTGAGTGGTCGCACTGTGACCCAGCCAAAGTGTCCCCACGTGTACGCGTGCATGTACGCGTGCGTGCACGCGCGTCTTGGGTTGTCGTCAACGATTGTGGGTTTCGATTTAAAGCTTTCGTGACTGCAAGGATTCATCTTCTTTGGTTCTTTCGGTAAAGTCACGTAGAATGAGAATAAAATAATAAAATATAACAATAAAATTATCACGATGTTTCGGCCACAACACAAGTGGCCTTCTTCAGGTGAAAGGAACAAACCTGTCGGGACGACAGAGCTACAATTGTAGACCCGACAGGTTTGTTCCTTTCACCTGAAGAAGGCCACTTGTATTGTGGCCGAAACGTCGTGAGAATTTTATTGTTTTATTTTGTTATTTTATTCTCATTCTACGTGACTTTACCGAAAGAACCAAAGAAGATTGTGGGTTGCCATTCGTTTCAAGAATCTCTTCTCCTTTGTCTCCTTTTCACTATCTCATTTGTTTAGTTTTGCTCGCTCCCTTCGCCAAAATGTAACGGGCATATAATGTACGCGTAATTTGCAACGATCAGTCCTCCAATGGATGAAGGCCTCCGCAATCTGCCGTCATATCCCAGGATCCCGCAATGTTACAGTCCGTTTGTCACGCTCGCGCGATCCAGTTCTGTCGCTCACAACTCCGCGGCCGACAGCCTCTCGGACGCGTTCCATGACCGCCACTCCATCTTCGTCCTTTACCATCGGCCACCGTCCCTTTTTGCCGTGACGCGTCCTGCCCCAAAACCTCACTCGCTTATCTCGACTCTTCTCAACAATGCCTTGAACCCGCGTATGGTGATCTTGATCCACGTGGCCCTCTTTCGGTTTTTCCAGTATTGTTCCAAATATGCATCTCTCCGCCCTTCTCCGTGCACTCCTCGTCTTTTTGCTCTGCAGTGTTGTAGTTCATCACCATGTGCCCGAGCGATTTGTAGTACGCGCCCATTGAACACTTTCGGCACATCGGTGTGTTGCGTGTGAATTAATAGTCGATGCTCGCTTGCACAATTGAGGTACGTCTTTAAAATAATCATCCTTAGTCCATCGGGAAGACCTTTTCGGTCTTAACAATGCACTTTTTCATCCACTTAATCGTAATGCGCTTAACAAAAGCCGGCTTGATGCACCATCATATTTTAATTCGTCAAATTTGTCCGGGATATCACCTTCAGGCAAGGCATGCATCGTGACCCCAAAAAGAAAATACTTTTTATTGAGGGAGTCTGTGCCCCGCTGAGTGTTGTGTGCTCTGAGGCAACTGGTTTTTGTTACATGCGGTCGTTTATTTTTGTAAACCTTATACTTTTAATACTAGCGGAGAAACCATCAATCAGCGTGCGTGTCGTTATTCTTAATGGGAAGAGGGCAGAGGAGGACGAATGAGAGGAATGTGTCCGCTGTGTCTGCAGCGCGCTCCCACTCTCCGCCGTACGCCAGAGCTGTCCGTGTGTGTGCGCACAACGTAACGATCGTTCAGACAGCAGCAGCAGATCTCTAGAGCTCCCTCTCGCGGGGGGGGGGGGGGGGGGGCCTTCTGCCAGCAGTGGCGTGAGCCAGAAATTGCAGGGCTGCGCCTTTACCTTGTTACATGGTTAGCCGTTTAGAGTTAGGAAAGTTTCAAGGTTCGGTTGAAATAATGATCAACTGTGAGTGGAAAACTGTCAAAAAATATCACGATTGGAAAGATCAGACCAGCCTTACTTAAAAATGGCTCATCTCCTCATAACAGAGCCCAGGCGCTGCAGGGCAGATGCATTGTACCTCGGGTGAATGCTGCGGTGGGTGCAATCGCCCTAAGACACCACGCGCCGTCTGCTTCGTTACGGATCCTGTGACGCCATTCACAAGAGTGGGCCCCAATGTGTTCCAGAGTCGTGGTCCACCGTAGCCGAATAAAAACGAAAAAGCGACGCTGCAAATTACTCGATTGGAATCTACACGGCAGTCATCGCCCCCCCGCTTGCGGAAGCCTGGCCCCCGCACTCGCGTGTTCGCCGCTAGTTTGCAGAGGCGCGCGGTTCGAAGCCAGCGGCGGCAGCCAGCCCCCTGGTTCCTTCTGACCGCTAAAGATGCACGACGCGCCATCTGCTTGACGCGCAGTGGACGTTAAAGATCCCGTGACGGCAGTTCGCGAGAGCGGGCCCGTGCGTGCCGGCGTCATGGTCCAAATTTTGCCAAATAAAAATCACACTGCAGAATTACTAACTTGGTATTAGCAGTCATCGCCCCCCCCCCCCCCCCGCCGCCCCTACTCTGATAACCTGACGGGCCCCTCCAGAAAACGAGCCATGAGACTCGGGCCTTCCCGGGTCAACAAGCGTAACAAAGAATAGTAAAATAATCGTCATCATCGTTCGAAGGTGGCTGGCTGTCTTCGGGAGCGAATACCGCGTCTGTGACACTGAGCCAGCACAGCCGGCATCCTGTGTTCGAATCCAGGTTTCTGTCACTCGTGATTAAACCGGTTAAACCGGTTTGTCAAGTGTAGCGAGTTGAGTCACGAGGCTTTCCTGGGTAAACAACGAAGTAATAATAAAGTGATGATAATATAAAACTAACTGCCTCATTGAACCATGCGTTCAAGGTGGCGGTGGTCATGGGTCGTTCCTACGACCGGTTAATTAACCCATCGTCGGCACAAGCCGCCCCGTACCCTCAATGGCTTTGAGGACAACAAGCGATCAGGCAAGTTGGTTGTGATAACGAGGCCGCGACTGTGATGGCTCAGACTCGGAGAAGAGCGCGGAGGATCGGGCGCGCGAGGAGGAGCTCCTGCAGGAGCTGGTGAGCATCATCGAGGCACGCAACGCCATCGTGGAGAGCATGGACGAGGAGAAGCACAGGTGAGGGCGCGTGCCGCTGGCGTGCCCGCACATCGCTCGCTCGCTCTCGGTAGAAGAACGCTCTCCCCAGAGTCTAGATTTCGGGGTCGCGGAGGGTGAACCAGGATGTACGGTTACTGCGCTGTTGTGTCCCAGGCGCAAGGTGTGGCTGTACGCAGCCCTGTTGCTTCCCACGCGGTGTTTCGTTAACACCGGTGCGCGGGTGATTGTTTAATTTCCAAAGTTGTATTTAAGTTCCAGCAGTCCCTCGGTTAACGTTTTTAATCTGTTCCACGAAAATTACCTGTTAACTGAAATAACTGTTAATTGAATATAGGAATTGCATGTTAAAAGCGTTGAGCCGTTTCAAGTCGATCGGAAGTTGACCTTTAGCCTCAGTGAGGCATGGCTCAGCCCACTTACGAGCGCTTGGATTGGCCGAAATTCGGGGCCCGCGTGCATAAGGCAAATGTACTGTTAATAAAAATTGTGACGTTAGTCGAAACCATGGGGTCCTGTGTGAGGTGAAACGTTAACCGAAACAACCATTCACCGATGTCACTTAACCAAAGGGACTACTGTATCCATAATTGCGCGTCTCGCAATCGTTCCTACTTCTCGTGTCGGCGACGAAATCATACTGATAATTATCGTCATGGGCTGCTCCTCGCAGCCCATGACGACAAGAAGCAAGACAAACCGATGACGACATCACCACGCCCCTCGATGTACACAAAACCTCTTTTGCGTGCGATTTTCGTTATCCGCGATTTTTTCTAAATCCGGGCCATCCCTCCTGTGCCAGCACCCTGGGTAATTGAGCGCCCACCGTCATTGAAATAATCCGCCCATGTTTCCCTCGTTTAATTAAAAAAGCCTGGGCACTTGGAACCGCGTCGGGATTTGCGGCTTCCCTTGAGAAGTAAAAAAAAAGTTAAAGTCTGTAAACGTCTGTAAACGGCGCTCTAAATATTCAACATCAACAGCGCTGGAGCCTCGCACCAGCGCTGAGAGCACGAGCGCGCGAGAGCAAGAGCGTTGACGCGTAGCGTGGGGGGGCGTGGGGGGCGGCTCACCTAACGTTTGTGATTGATGGCGGGGGTCCTCCAGGGATGAAGAGGAGGACAAGGCCCTCGAGGGAGTCATGCTCAAGAAGGGTGAGTCATCATCACCCCACCACCACCACCACTCTCGCAAGCGCTGCCTATTTCATTTTAGTAATCATATTCTTGGCACTTTACAATATTGAACGCCATGTGTTCACCAAATCCCCCCGGAATGCGCCCGACCTCATCGGATCTCGGAAGCTAAGCAGGGCTGATCCCACAATGGTGATTGGGAGGGTGACCACCCTGAGCGCCAGGTTGTCGTAGGCAGCTCGTGGCTACGCTACTCGGTGCTACACAGAGGGCAGTGCGGCGAAATGTACAGTATGGTAGTACTGTGCTTCTATGCTCCTACCTCTCCATGTGGGGACCGCCTTCACTAACCCACACTGCCCAGCATGGTGAAGTAGAGATAAAATAACCCCCACGGCCAGCACGGAGAGGAAGCCTTCGGCCAGCAGCGGATTGACGGCGTCTGTAATTGTACACCGCGCATGTTGTGCATTGATCGGTGCCGATGATGCACGTGTGCGTGCGCGCCATGCCGGCCTTAATAGGCGCTAACTAACAGCACTTAACATGTAGGTGTTCGCGGCCAACATAACGTACGATTCGTAAGAGGGTTCTGGGTTGGGCCTAGGTAACGATCTGGCCAGATTTTTTGCCGTGAACCCTCCTCCCCACCACCCGCCGAGAGCCAAGCAATTAAACCATCGTCAATGCACCGGCATTTTACGAGCGAATTGTAATCGTTCGTGCTCACAACCACGTTTGGCGTTTCCGAGAACGACGTCTCGATTGAAACTGCGTCAAGCATTACGGCACTTGTCCCCAACGGGTTTCGTGGGGGGGATTTTTCTCTGTCCACAAGCAGAGTTCCTGAAGGCGGAGATGGACGTCCGCTCTACCTCCTCGCCCTCCGCACCGGGTGACAGGAAGAAGGGAAAGTTCAAGCCGCTCAAGCTGCTCCGTCGCTCCAGCACCAAGACCGACAAGAAGAGTGGGAGCAGCGGGGGCAGTGGGGGCAGCGGCGGGGCCTCGGGGGGCAGCAAGGGCACGGCTGGGGCAGCAAAGTGAGCGGTCAGCGGCGCCTGGGTTCGTCGTGGAGGCCGGTGCGAAGACGTAGGAGCAGCGTCGTCAACTTGGGCCGGAGGGGTTGCTGGAAGGCCGTGAGCCTCCAACACGGTTGTCAAGAGTGGTGGTGGTGCAGGTGGTTGAGAACAGAGCATGTGTGAGAGTGTCGTGAGTACATGGCACTGGCCGTGCCTGCCTGTTGATATCGGCTGCTTTTGACAGGAGGCATGTAATGATTCGTTGACCAAACAATCGGTGTGTACGCTCGCCCACGTGTTCCATCGGATTAATTTTTTCGTGGTTTATGAGACCTTCCTATAGACCGAACGAAACTGATTGAGGCTCAAACAGTGGGGCAGAACGTACGAGGACGAACGACGCCGGCGAGACAAACTAGAACGGGTAATTTAATCAAAGCATTGGCAAATATTTAGCGTGAATCGCGACAATCGGATCTCAGAGGTGGGGGGGGGGGGGCGGGGGAGAGGTGGATCATTATTACATGGCGATTTGAGAGGCTGCTTGCAAAACACCCCTGTGCCCACGGGATCACTTTGCGAGTCGTGGAGCAGAGGGCCGGTCGCTGCTGTTGGAGGCCTTGCCTGTTGTCGCCACGCTGCACGACCTGCGGTCAGCAGTTCACGGAGGGTAAAGGTGCAGCCCTGCAATGTCCTGCGTCGCCGCTGGCAGAAAGGGCCTCTGCTGGAGGACGCCGCTCCATTAAGGCCCCCTCTAGAGGGCATTTTGGCCCACTCTACCACGCTGACCAGACACGAGTACCCACACTTTACCCCACCACACAAGACCTGCCCATAAACTGTGCTGTACTCATAATGCTGGGTGGCATGAGGCGGAGGGGACGGTGGCGTGGATTCATAAATGTGCTCCAGTGTTTCAACTCCCGCGCCGGGAGATCGATCCGATTACTTGCGGAATTGCAAGTCCCAAGTGTGTGACCATTACACCACTGGCAGCATCCACGCACGTCACGTTGCCTGTGTGTGTTGTGTACGTGAAGCCTGGCCAGAATTCTGGAAGAATATGGTAGTGTTACCACGAACAGCCTCATGCCCACACTCTGAAACATCTGCGGGTGATTTGACCCTCCCAAGTTACCGTCATGCTTCTGAGAGGGTCACTCTTGCGAATGAGACTGCTATCCTGGCCTCTGGAGTTCCCATCTGGTCAAACTAAATACGCTTGAGGGTCAACAGCAATTTCGGCAGCCCCATTGGTGGGAAAAAGCATTATAAACACTTTATATACTTGCAATAAAGCACACTATTATTTCACAGTGACGGTTATAATCTGCCCACACACGTGCGAGACTGGGAGTCGTTGTGTTCTCCGCGCGTGTGTGAGTTGTGCACACTTGGTCATGTCTACTCAAGTGGCTCTGGTTATGATGAATCCTCCGCTGGAGCAGGATTTGTTTCTGGGCGAACTCAATTGTCGGTGTTGAAGCAGAGCGAAAGCAAACGGACGCGATTATACGCACACAGATGGAACGATGTACGACCGCGCATTCTGATGTGTGGCCGTGTGGAGGTGGTGTCTACGCGCGTGGACTAGAATCCAGCACCGTTGAGGATCGCACAGATGTTGTCAAACTCCCTTCCCGTGGGTCTTGAAGTGCCTGCCAGAAGGCGGTGGTTCAGGCAAAGTGTGGACTGGCCCCATCTGTTCTGTCTCTGTGGGATCGAGCATTGCCTCCTCGCATGTGCGTTTTCTCTGAGTGTTCCGCTTTCCTCTCACACCCACATGTCTGTGTTCAATCATTAATATATAGAGGACCCCTCCTGTCCTTCCTGTTACTCTTTTTCAATATATTTTCTCTTCAGCCAAATCACTATGGCCGTACCGAATTTTCGTCAACAAACACCCAATATTCAAATTCAGTTGGCTGTTCGGTGCATTCCCTTTTATAGGATTTGGAGAGACGCACTCGCCATAGGATAGTGTTATTTAATGGTTTACCAGCGCTTTAGTCAAGCCTTAATTCCAGTGTTTTAAGCGCGTTTATTTAGAGTTGTAAGCGCTATATCAACTGTTACAGTCGTTTTGTATTTAAGCCCGACGTTAGTTCCCGCGTCATAGGTGAGTAGTGTTGCCGTCGTTGGTAGGTTAGCATGTTCCGTAATTTAGACCCTGATGGCGTTGTATTTATAAAGCGTTTGTAAGTAAATCATATAGCCTGCATTTCTCTACGACAGCTGCCTTCTCAACTTGTATTCGCATGGTTCTGTAATTGTCAAAAGCTGTACGACGTTGGCCGCGCGCGTGTGCGCTAGGGGGGAGGTAGGGGTGCGGCAGTTAGCGCGTCGCCCAACGAAACCCGGCGACCCGAGTTCGATTCACGGGCCACCACATCTGACGGTGGCGAATATTTGAACCGGTCCTGGGACTTCCATAGATCGACTCAGCCTTGAATGAGTACCCGGTGAGTCGTGTAAACATCGCCACTGGGGAGACAAAGGCGGCCTGATCGTGGCGTTGGTCACCCACCCCCGCCGTGTGCCGTGCCGGCCTTCATAGGTGCTCGCTAACAGCACTTGCCTCAAAAACCTGTTGGGGTTATATGGGGGATCTTTTGTTTTTGTAGGGTGTCTGCCTTCCTCGCCTTGGTCCTTCATGCCCACTTCACGTTGTTTTGTGTTATTGGCGAATGCTGGTCGTGCGCTAATGTCTGTTCGTGGAAGAACGGCAATACCGGCGTGAAATTTGTCGCAGTGCATGTCGAGGATTTTCTGTTTCTCCCCGAGGGTTTGGTATTAATAAAGTGGGGCCAAGGGCGACTCTGGACGGATGACCAAATTTAGAGTGGTTTGCAATCACTCGCAAGGTGCGTCACCTTTCCAAAGTGTTTATTTCAACGAGACTTTTAAGCACATTTGATATTTTGCCGTGATTTTTTTTTTTAATCGGTTCTGTCCCCCGTGACTTTAATTAACTCGGTTGCTATTGTGTCAAATAAAGGCATGTGGAAACCACACGGGGGGGGAGGCTGCCGGTCTGCGTTGGAAGCCACGTGCTCATCCGTCACATCTGCGCGCCCTCCCGACCCTCGTGAACCTCCAGTGGCCGAGCCGATGATGTGTGGTGCGCGGAGCCGCGTGGTGCCTCTACAAAACGCCGGTGGCGAGCGCCCCCGGGGCAGAGCGATCTGTGTAACAAGTACCGACGTGAACATTACGTAATATACCAGTAAACAATGTTGCCGTGTGGCGGCTGGAAACCTTTGGGCAAACGTCGGATCCAGCAACCACCACTCCTCCCCCGGCACAGCGAACTCGACGGAAACAAGACGCGTGCGCGCACGTCTTCACGGCAATCGTCATGTTTATTGTTATTCGTCGGTGGGGGGGGGGAGAAAAAATCAAGGTATAATAATAAATAGCCATCTCTCAGGACAAAAAAAACCAAGATTGTTATGAAGGTGGGGGGGGGGGGGGGGCGGCGCGGGGGGTGTCACAACCACGCTTTGTCAAGCAACGTCTGTTGTGACACCCACCGGACTCGAAACAGCCAAGGGGGGGGGGTCGGGACACTGACCAATTTACTCTCGGATTACCGTCAAGCGAACACGATTACACGGCCGGGGAGCGGCGTGGGTGCTACCGCGAGGAGGAGGGGGGAGGAGGAAAAGGGAGGACACGTGAACCATGTACACAGCACAGCCTTTCCCACCCGAAGCAGGTCACCGCGATTATTCCGTTTAACAGTCGGGGATTTCTTGAATATTCCCGTTAAACGGTGTGCACGGAGATGATGATGGTGGTGGTGGAGGAGGGTACACGTTTAGTAAGTGCTACAGAATGTAGAAGTTAAGAGGCAAAATTAAAAACACGTACATTGAAATATATTACCGTGTCGTGTGAACACCGCCGCTAAAAAAAGGCTTCTCAATGGGGGTTTGCCCGGGCGAGTGAAGATCTTTGTTTTCAGCTTGGCTTTCACAAATTCGACGGCGGGTTTCACTCAACAGTTTTAAGACTTGCCGGCCACGAGAGCGGCAGGAGTAAGTGCTACATGTCGACGGTGGCTTGGCCAGAGCTGCATCGGCCAACGAAATAAAAACAAACAACTCCCCGGGGGACTGGCATGGATTCGGGCGAAGGCTTCTTTTCGGGATCCGCTCACCGGCTCTTAACCGTTTGCCGGCGTCGGGCGTTCCTAGAAAATCACAAGCCACTGCAACCAATTCCCGCGCACCCTGCACAAGTTAACCATTCCCGCAAGTTTACTACCCTTGTCGGCCACGTGGAAGTGGCCTTAGGTGGGGAGATGGGAGAAAGGATAAAGGGGCATGGCGTCAAGTGGTATGGACGAGGACGGGGGAGGTAGGGGCTATAGGAATGTTCAATGCTTCTTTTGCCTCCAACAACGTGGCAGAAACTGGCACCAATTGCCGCTGCGTGGGCCTTTGTTTAGATCGTCCACGTCGCGCGGGTCTGTGGCGTGCGCGCCGCGGGGCACGGAGCCCTCTCGAGGAACGGATTCGTCGCCGGAAAGCGGCGGCGCTTCGTACCCACGACCGTCACCCGTCGACGATTGGAAAATGTGGTCCTCTACCTGGGATTATCGACGCGAACGTGGTTTATAGCTGCTGCTGTTCCCCCGACTGGAATAGGGGGATGACGCGGCAGGGGAACGGTGGAGCCACGAGGTCGAGCGGGGTCGTGACCTCGAACGAGGTCGGGAGCCGAGAGGGTCGCCTGCGGTACGGATCCACGCGCCCGCTCGCCCGGGCCAGCGGACGCTTAGCGGCCAGGGGGGAGGGCGACCGGCCGATAGGACGTGCTCGTGAACGTGTCGTTGCATCGCGCAGAGTTGTGTAACGGGAGCTACGTGTCTGAACGAAGAAACCTCGTGCTGTGTGCGGGGGCCATTGCATCTGCGTGTGGGTCTCTTCTTTGATTTGCTCAAAACAAAGTACACGACGCGTGGATGCACACGGCACTGCGACAGGAGTGTGCGAGTTTGCGTCCGAGTGCGTGTGTGCGTGAGCGCGGGCTTGAGAGTACGAGCGTTGAGTGCGTGAGCGTTGAGTGCGTGAGCGTTGAGTGCGTAAGCGATGAGTGTGCCCGTGAGCGTGTGTGACCACAAGCGTGAGCGCGGAGAGGCGTGGAGTCGGCCTACGCATGCTGGGCCTGCCCCAGGACGCCCATGACGATGGAGGCCACGTGCTTTGTGCTGCCGCCCTGCAGGAAGCTTCTGTGGTCTCCGTCGACGACATGCAGCTTCACGTTGCCGGTCACCACCTGCGGGGCGACACGCAACACGCGCCGCACGATCGTTAACCCCGGCCGCTCCCCACCAACGTGACCTCGGGACACGACGTTGCCGCGTCAAACGTGTCGCGTGCCACCCGTCGCGTGCCAAGAATGAGCGAGCGCGCCACCTGGCTGAGGTTGTAGTCTTCCCCGAGGCCGTCCCCCGTGGGACTCCCGGCCTCGGCGCGCAGCAACGTGACGTCCGCGACCAGCTTCCTCAGCGGCTGGTACTTGTCGGCGGCGTGCAGCTTCCCGTAGAAGGAGCTGGCGGAGAAGCAGAGGTCGGAGCGCTCCAGGCCGGGGTGCCGCGCCAGGATGATGTCGCACACCGCCCCGGCGCGCGCGTCCAGCGAGGGCAGGGCCAGCAGCATCTCGAACGTCTGTCGTGATACGGCGGCCGCTGTTCACTTGCGAGAGGGCGCCTCCCCTCTCGCCCGCGCGCGTGCTATGCGACTGATGGATCGTCACGTTAAACTCTCACGGTGGACCCTGACGGCTGATGAGACACGGAACGTTGAAACCGGTGCAAGGTTCGTTTGCGCCGAACCAATGCTGCCGAGGTTGTGCGCTCCCAGCAGACGGTGGGGCTAAATGGGACGGTAAATAATTTTTGTGCCGATTACCAGAAACGTGAAGGGGGACGAGTTGTTCGCTAAAATGAAAACCACTTTGTGGGGACGTCAACGGTGGTCGTCCTCGGAATTAGAATATTTATTTAGACTGGAGGAATCCGATGAGCTATGAAGCTCTTTTTCACCGATGGCCAATAAATTAACAAAAACAATGTAATTTCACGCGTGGCTCGAGGCTGTAATCAACTGGCACTCTCCCTGCATGGTAACGTGTCAAACAAACTCGCATGACCAACGCGGCGCCTTCTCCCAGCATCATCGTCGTCATCACCGCACAAAGGGGCTGTGATTGTTACGTTTGATTTAACAACAACACGAACATGTGCAACATTGCACGTAAAACATCTCTCGGCCTTACCCAGACGACCAGCTCAAAATAAGCTTAACGTGTGACCACGGTGGTCTGGGTAAGTCGGAGAGCTATTTGCCCATGCAATTCTGCACACCATAATGCGTGTTGTTGAACCTGTTCGTTTTCAGCCGGCATTGACTTTTATGCCGTGATGGATCTTGGGTGCCGCGGTGGCTATGAGACGTTAACTACTTGGCCTGGTATACAGGAGGTCGTGGGTTCGATCCCGACCCTGACGCCTGTATATGTGGAGTTTGCGTGTCTCTCTCCCCGTGGTCCTGTGGGTTTTTCTCCGACTCCCAGTTTTTCTCCTCCACATTTCGATGCATGCGTTTAGAGCATTTGGCTGCTATAAATTTTCAGGTCGCTTCTGAAAAAGAGCCATATAGCTCAGTGGATGGTACTTACCTGGAAACAATCAAATAAAATGGAACATCTGTTATTGTAAAACGCAAGGAAGAGCGACGTGCAATGTGCTCGGTGCATGGAGTCACCTTCTGCCGCTCGACGGCCACGAACTGCTGCACGAACGCACACATTGATTCCGACTCTTCCGCAGCGACGTCTCTCAGCTTGGCTTTGTATCCCTGCCGCGACGGGGGGGTGTAGCCGACCGGACCGGACAAAACAGAGCAACATGAATTGGGGAAGAACGCAGCATCGCACATGCGGCATTCACAAGACACCAAACGTCCCGATGTGGCCGGTGGGACGATCCCGGTGAGTCTCCCCCACCACCCCCCCCCTCGCCCGCAGATGGCGGGGCTACCTGGGCAGTGGGCGTAGTTACCGTAGTGGGTGGGGCTACTTTCGTGGGCGGTGCTAGTGGTTGAGTGGGCGTGGCTATGTAAGAGTGGGGGGGGGGGTAGATTTAGATTGTCTTTGTCGCTGTACTGTGTTTTTTTAATCTTTTAGATTGTCATTTCGGTGACCCAGGTCGGTCAATTTTGGTGAAACAAAAACATTTTGAAACCGATCTTGAAACAAACGCGCGAGGGCAGCGAGCTTTCACCTGCGTGTGCGCAGCCACGTAGTTGTGCGAGCCGTCCAGCAGCAGGAGCGTGTTACCGCTCGGCCCCTTCTTGCCGGCGGCCACCGCCGCCGACTGCAGCTGCAGGCTCATCTCGAAGGCCACGCACGCGCCGAACGAGTAACCGGCCAGGCGGTACGGCCCCGTGGGCTGCACCCTGCGCACGTGCTCCAGGTAGAACTCCGCCAGGCTGCTGATGCTGTCCAGGGGCGCCTCTGGAGCGAGCGAGCGAGGGAAGGAGGCAGGGAGGGAGGTAGGCAACGGATAATTACGGACGGACACGCATGAGCAGATTTATAGAGCGCAAGGGCCACAACTCGTGACCGTCTTGCCGTCTCGCTTGTTCTTGGTAGGTGCTCCCTAACGGCACTTCCCCGACGATCTTAACAGGACTACGTGGGGTGGGGGGGGGGAATCTACGTGGGAAGCGGCCGGCGGGTCGTGTCGGAGCCCTCACCCTCCGTGCACTGCAGGCCGTAGCAAGGCACGGACAGCTTGGAGGCGAGCCTCTTGAAGGCGATCGGCGTGCCCTCGATGGGGTGCACGAAGAAGAGCGGCGGCGCGGCGCCGTCCGCGACGTCGTTGATGCGCTCGAGCGTCGCGCCCAGGCGCGGCACCACCAGCTCGGGGAGGGTCACCTCCAGCTGGTCCGGCGATACCGGGCGGGGCTCCGCCAGCGCTGCCGAAACACGGCACAGCGACGGAGAGAATCGCCGATTAATGTGGCCCGTTAACGTGCGATCGCGCCGGATGAGTCACGGTTCAAAGTGCGTGCGTGGGCGTTCGGGCCGTGATCGTGTAACGGTTAACGTGCTGCACTATGAACCCCGGCCACGGCCAACAGTGATGAATATGAATATCTCAGCTTGTCCGTGGCCTTCCCCTAGGTCGACCCAGCCTTAGATAGGGTGTGTAATCATCAACACAAAGGTGGCCAGGTGTGGTGCTAGTCACCCACCCCCTCGTGGGCAGGGCTGGTCTTCGAGGGTGCTGCTCGCTAAAAGCACTTGCTATATGGGGCGGAGGGAGGAATTTTGGTTGGCGATGCCACCCGAAGCACAAAAAAACTGGGACATCATGGCAAAAGAATGGCTCACAACACCAGTCGAGGTGAGAACTGCTAGGACATTTTGCAGCCGGATTTCACAGGACAGCGGCTACCTCCTCGACAAGCGCACAATCCTGGAAACATCAGAGCTGTGGCGAGCTCCTTGTCTGCGTTGTGCGCGCGCCCCTCACCGGTGTTGGAGGCGGAAAGCTCGCGCAGCTTGGTGACGGTGAGCTGCCGGATGTCGCGCATGGACAGCACGAGGTCGTAGTCGCGCTCCAGCGTCTGCCGCACCTCGACGCCCATGAGCGAGTCGAGGCCCAGGTCGGCGAGCGACGACTCGGGGTTGATGCTGCTCACGTCCCGCACGCCTGAGCGGAGCACGCGGACCGAACGCCCCGCGGGTCAGCTCGCGACGGCCATCGACGACGCCAACGACCAGAACGAGGGCCGCCGAGTGGGTGGCGGCGACCTCCCCGCACGCCGCGCGCGATGACCGCGCCGAAACGAGCGCCGTTAACCGACGGGGCCACGGATTCGTTGCTGTCGCGTCAACCAGCGGCGCCAATGACGGCCAGAACAATGGTATGCCGGCGTTCGCCACTAGGGGTCGGTGAAATACCGCACACACCCGTGTAAAACCTGCGCGTGTCGCCACGATCCCTCGTCCACCGCGGAGACGTTTACGTTTCGAGCACCGCGCGCACGCCGCAGCTCATCCATCTCACCTAGGATGTGGGCCACGGCCTCCACCAGGTCCTTCTTGTCGGCCTGGTCGGCCCGGGCCGCGGTGGATCGCTCGGCCAGCACGAAGCTGGACAGCACGGGGTGGCCCTGCGACAGGAAGCGGTCGAGCGTGTCGAGGCAGGAGCCGATGCGCTGGGGCAGCGTGCCGCCGATCACCGTCTCGTTGTCCCCCATCGACTCGAGCACCACGCCCACGTCGCCGATGGCGCCCCACTGCACCGCCAGGCCTGGTACCACCAACCGGGGGAGAGGAGGGAGGGAGGACGGATGGCGGCGGCGGCGTGAGGGGCGGTTGTGTGGAGGGGTAGGGTGGGGGGTGCGGCACGCGTCGCCGCGGTTGCGGAGGGCGTTGTGGCGGGGCGTTACCGGGGAAGCCGTCGTGCCTCCTCTTCTCACAGATGCGCTCCATCGCGGAGTTGGCAAAGCCGTAGTTGCTCTGCCCGGCGTTGCCGCGGCCGCTGCTCACCGAAGAGAAAACCACGAACCAGTCGAGCTCGGGGCACTTCGTGCGTGTCACCCTGTGGGAGAGGGAGGGGGGGGGGTGGGCACGCCAGCTGGTTGGTTAAAGCGACACGGAGCGGAGAGGTGAATCACTCGGCGGGAGTCGTAGCAGCGGAGTGAGCAGGAGGAAGGTTTGTTTTGTTTACGCAGAGAGAATACCGCGGGAGGGTCACGTGGCCAGCTTGCTCTACCGTGGGAAGATTTTGAGTTTCGGTGTCACCCCCGTTTGCGCAACGGGAGTCAATGGACACGGGCTGGACGAGGGCCCGTCCCCGCGCCGTCCAGGGCTGTGGCGGTTATTTTACCAAACGTCCCCTCGCTGGGCACTGTAGGGTTGGCAGCGTGGAGTAGGAAGCGCAGAAGTACGGCGTGACAATGGATTTTGCTGCACTGCCCTCCGCTGCCCCACCACGTACGTGTCCCCGCGAGCCCTGCGGCCACCCCGGACTCGGGAGCCGCTCCAACGAGGCCGGGCGCTTTGCGGGTGGTTCGGATGCAGACAAAGATCCCCCCGTGTAGCCTCAACAGACTGTTGAGGCAAGCGCTGTTATGAAAGCCAACACGGCACACGTTGAGGGTGGTGTGGCTAGCACCTCACCCGGCCTTTTCTGTCTTACCAGTGCTGGGTACTCATTTGAGGCCGAGTTGACCGCGAGGAGACCCAACACCGGTTCGTGAATTAATCAGCGACATTGGACGCGTGTGGGCATCACGCTCTGGGTCATGCGCTAACTCACACGCGCACGCACACAAAGGGCGCACGCACGCACGTGACGCTTCCCACCTGTCCAGGTAAATGGTGCCGTGGAACTTGGGCTTGTTCACGTCCTTGAACATGCCGGCGTCCAGGTTCTCCAGCATGCCGTCCTTCAGCACCTGTCGCGCGCCGGGGGCGGGACACGACGACAGCGGACGTCAATAGTGGCGGCGTCAAATCCGGCCGGTTGCCGCCGGTTCGACGTCCGTGTCGTTTACAAAAGCAGGGGCGGGAATGCCCGAGGCTCGCCGCCGGTCACGTTCCTCCACGGGCCACACGAGGCCTACGACCGGAACTTGCGAGACGGCCCGCAGACTACGCGCCTCTTGGCGGTACTCATCGGGCCACTCGAGGGGGAATTTTTTCGCCCCGGGCAACGACAAGAACGCGGGGTTTCTAATTTTCTCACGCTCGTGAGAAAAAAAGGAGTGCGAGCCATCATGATGTTGTTGTTGTCGGACAACGGTCAGGCTCCAGTTAAGCTCTCGTTGCTCGGCAACTTTGACACAAGCGCGGTGGAGGCGAGGGTCAATGGGTCGCGTACAGATTCGCGAAAGTCCAAACCCCGCCGAGCTGCGACGCGTGCTCGTGAACCCCCCTCCCCCGCCCCGTTCCGTCGCCTCTCTACCCCTCCTCGTGAGACAGAAGAGCCCCTCCTCGCCTGCGCCCACTCACCATGGCGAGGTGGAAGATGCCGCCGATGGGACCCAACACGGCGGCCTCCTTGACGAGGCCGGCGGCGTCGGCCTCGCTGCTGATGTCGCGCGTCGACACGGACACGCCGATCCCCATCTCGCGCCACTCGCGCACGCGCCGCGCCTGGTAGCCTGCACACGCCGACAAAGATCCCCCCGGTGTAGCCTTGACACACCACCGCTGGGACAAGTGCCATTTGCGAGCGCCCGGTAAGGCCTTCCCTAGGCTCAGTTGACCTAGGGGAAGCCCAGGACTTGCTGAGATTTTTGTCACCGATGTGAGCGGCAATTTAACTCGCGCGCACGCACACACAGGCAGTTTCAGTTATACAAGGCTTACTGCGCACGCGAGCACACACGCAGCACAAACTCCACACATGCCACATGCACGCACACACCCACACACACATACATGCACACACACGAAACCGTGTGCGGAGGGAAACCCCGAAAGGTTGGCGGCACCTCGCGGCGCAAGAGTTCTGTCTGTGCGGGTGTGCCGGCACGCTCACCGTTGCGGATGCCGGAGCGCGAGGTGAGCACGATGTTGCGCGCTCCCCTCTCCACCAAGAACTGCGCCAGCTCCAGGCCGAAGCCTCCCAGGCCGCCCGTGATGACGTACGTCTTGCCCGGCGGGCACATGGAGCGAGCGAGCGCCGGCACGGCCGGCAGCGGCGCCGACGAGGCACCCTTGAGCTCCTCCGGGAGAACCTGACGGGTCGGGGGGGGGGCCCTGAGTCAGTCGGCAGGAAGTGAGGTTCACCGGTCGGGTCGGTCAAACCCAGACGACAGGAACCAACCCGAAGGAGACGGTATGGGACGGCCGTGATGCGACAAACCACCTGACACCTGCACACGCGGCGATTCATCGCGGGCGCCCTCTCGGGCTGCCACTCCGTCATTAGGAATGCTTTTTGTGTTTAGTTTGTTACCTTTCCCCCACACCTCTGATTAGTACGGTTGGCTACGTACGGTACAAAAGAGTTCAGCGTACATACATTAGCCTCGACCGACGCTAATCACCACCCGAGCGAGCTCGGGCAAGGGCACGTCGTCGCGAGAAGGGACGAGGCCCGGCGGTGGAGACTCCTGACGGAGCGGCAGCCAAAGGGGGACGGCACGCGCGGAGACGGAGTGATGAAATCGGCTTCGCGCGCAGCGGGCGGGCGGGCCTGTCGCGAGACCGCGAGAAGCGGCGACGGCGCTCGGGGCGAGGGGTTGGGGGGGAAAAGGCCTCCGTCCGGCGGCGATTCTCCCGCAGGCGACCGCGGCCTCACCTGCACGACCACCTTGCCGATGTGCTTGCCCTGCGCCATGAAGCGGAAGGCGTCCTCCACCTGCTGGCGCAGGAACACGGTGGTGCGCAGCGGCTTGACGGTGCCGCGCGCGATCCCGTCGCGCAGCAGCGCCGCCACCTCCTCCCACTCGCGGTTGCCCTCCTCGAAGAGCGCGTCCAGCAGGATGCCGTGGAACGCCACGTTCTTCAGGAACAGCGCCATGCCTGCTCCGCCGGTGTGTGGGCGGTGGTGGGGGGAGGGCGGGAGTGGCGACGGCACGGGGGGAGACAAAGCGGGCCGGGCGTTAGGGGTCGCCCCCCCGCGGCACTTTCGCGTGATCCGTCCGAAGTTAAGCGAGCGAGCGAGCGAGCACGGGCGAGTCGCGCTTCGGTGGTGGCGACTGGGCAGCGGTCGTAGTCATCGTCGCGCTCGTCTCCCGTCGATAATTCCCTCGACAGAACGAACGCCGCGCAATGCGCGCGGAGCCGCGAGACCGCGAGTGAGGCGGGCGCCGGCGCACCGAGCGGGGAGTTGTTGGAGAGGTCGTATTTGCCGATCTCCAGGAAGCGCCCGTGCCGCGCGAGGCAGCGCAGGCTGGCCTGCAGCTTCTCCTCCGCCAGGGAGTTCAGCACGATGTCCACTCCTGTCACGCGCCACACACGCACGCACGCATAATGGTGAACATCCATTGGGAACACACACGCATAGGCACACGTACACCGTACACACCGGCACTGGACACGCATAAACGTACGGGTGCGCAGACACAACAGTTGCAAGCAGAGGGATGGTGACATTGACTCTGTCGGTGCTGCAGATATTGGTGTTTGCGTTGATGGTTCTTGCAGCCGCTGCTTATGGCCATGTTGGTGGTGTTGGCACAGTAGTTGGCACAGTCGGGAGCGCAGATTATGCTTCTGCCAGTCATGTCAATCAGTACAGCCACAGCACTAGAGTCTATGGCCTCAAAGTGCACCTAGCCTGGCATAAACACTGTGGTGACATCACCGCCACTTATTGGTTGTGTTGGTAGTGGTGGTGTTGGTGTTGGTGTGAACGTTACCTTTGCCATTGGTTGCCTTGAGGACGTGCTGCTCAAATGTGGTGTCGCGGGAGTTTGCGAAGGCCTCGTCCTTCAGCTGGGGGAAGGTTTTCTGCAGGTACGCGCGCTTCTCCGCCGAGCCTTTGCACGCACACACAACACGCGCGACACGCGTCCGTATAAGTTCACCGATTCCGTCGTCTGTGATGCACCGCGGTCGTTTGGTGGCAATCATCACGGGTGCAGCTCCTTCCACTTCATACGGCAGTATTCTCCCGTTTCACATTTTACGTGTTTCACATGTGTTTTTAATGTCTTATCATGGTCCCATCTGCTCATGTGACCTGGCTGTTGAATCTACCCTTCAGAGCTCAGTCCAAGCTCTCGCTCTCTCTTTTCCCAGATTCTAGACGGGCATTCTCAGTCCGGCTTCATTGCACCTGCTGGACAGCTCGCCCTGCTTAAGTTTAATGAACGTGACCGACAGCGCCGGCTGGCCCTGACAGATTCCCACCGACGCAACATCACGCCGCTAGTCACTGCTCGGGTGGGCCCCGACCGACGGAGCTCCCAGGCTGCGTCGTGCCCCTACTGGACATCTGAACCTCTCGCATAATGTCCGTGATGCAGTCATTTTTAGTCTGTTGATGGTCGGCGATGCGGCAATCGACTCATCTCGACGAGCTGTACTCACGATGCACCACTACGGTGCGTCCGCGAGCGTTCGGGGTTTCAGCGCTTCAGCGCAATCGCCCTCGCTGCGTTTCGACATCGCAGAGTAGAACTGATTTCGGATTGATTGGTAACCCCAGTCGCGGAGTTAAGTACACCCCTGGAAAAAATAGTGTCCCAGAAATAAAATATTTCATTGCCTTTTGTATTATTTGGTACCCCGGGGTACCCCCATAAGAATCATCTGTGAAAAAGAGCTTTATGGCTCCTGCAGTGTAACTAAATATTCGGATTCTGAAAAAAAATTAAACATTCCGTTTGCGCGAGCGCCAGCTAGCGGTGTGGGCGGGTGAGCCGGAGCGCGGGCGGGCGGACGGGCGAACCAGCAGTCGAGTGAGCGAGCGAGCCGGCCTCACCGACGGTGGTGTAGACGGTGCAGCCCATGCTGAGCGCGATGGCGATGGCCGCCTGGCCGACGCCCCCGGAGCCCGAGTGGATGAGAACGCTCTCCCCGCGCCGCATGCGCCCGCGCACCAGCAGCGCATAGATCGCCGTGGCGTACACCACCGGCACGGACGAGGCCTGCTCCAGGCTCCTGCGACGCGAGTGGTTAGAGGCAGCGTCAGCTTCACGGCAGCAGAATGTTCCCGCGTCCACGATTGGCAACATTTAACTACGGCCGACTCGCGATTGCCCTTGGGGGAGATCGTCCGGGTGGAGGATTAACCGCGCTGATTAAATAAATGCAAAAATAGATTCATGTGCAGTTACCAAAAAACAAAATATCCCCCGTATAGCCTTAACAGACTGTTGGGGCAAGTGCTGTTAGCGAGTAGCACCACCTATGAAGCCCGGCGCGGCACGCGAGGGGGTGCGTGGCCAGCACCATGCCCACACACGTGCGCGCACGCTTGCGTACGCACGCACGCTTGCGTACGCACCAGGTCTTGGGCACATCCCAGAGGAAGCGCTTGTCGGCATCCACCACGGTGGCCAGGCCTCGCGCAGGCAGCAGCCCCATCACCCGCTTGCCCTGGGGGTCGCGACCCGAGAACTCCATACCCAGCATGCAGTGCTGCAGGGAGAGGTCACCTGGGCACAGCGAGGGGGGGGGGGGATGGGTGGCGGGTGGGGAGGAGCAACGATGTCAAGCGACGGAGCAGGCGAGTTGTCCGGGCCGTGAGCGCTCGCGTGGGGACCCTGGGTGACGGCCTCCCCCGCGGCGTGCGGGACGCGGAGATGACAGCGGTGGCATCGGCTCGCGTGGGAAAGAAACTCACCCAGCAGTGGACAGGTCACGTCATCGGGATTGTTTGAGCGTGCTTCACTGCACTAATCATTGTGGGTTTGGTGAAGGTGGGGGGCATTGACAGCAATGGGGTTTCGCCCAGCGCGCAGCCCTGCCATCCCCCACGACAACCTGTTCGTGCACGGTGGGTGCCCACGCGAGCACCGCGCAGGCTTAACCACGTGGCTCAGCCGATGGGTCCGGGCGCGCACTGCGGGTGATCTCATGACGGGCACTCCCCATCGACCGACCCGCAACGCGGTCACGACGCGTCGATTAAAACAGATCGGGCAAATGCCTAGCCACGCCCAAGTCGCTGCCAGCGCCGGCCACACGCCGGCACGCTCCACCTCTCCTGCCGTAGCCAGACGCCGCGCGGTACGGCGCGGCGCTCTCTCACCGGGGATGGCGTCGGGCGGCAGCTTGCCGGTGGCCAGCATGATGTCGCGGAAGTTGAGCGAGGCGTAGTAGACGCGGCACAGCTGCACCATGCTGGAGCTGCTGCTGCTGAAGTGTCGCAGCGGCGACGCGATCCAGGCGAGCGAGGAGAGGTCTCCGCGGGTCAGCACGTTCACGTACGCGTACTCCGTCGCCACCGAGGTCCCGCTGGCGCCGCCTGCGACACGGACCGCACGCGAGAGCCGCGACGTCAGGCGACGCGCCTGGGCGCAGGGGAAGCCCCCGAACGCCAGACGAGCACGCGACGGAATATTCTAGACGGATGATCCGGAACGCCAGGCTTGCACACGATCGAGTCATGGAATGCACTCGGGACCAGCTTCGACCTCGTCAGCATAGTTTGTTAAACAATTATTACTGGAGTCGGTTCTGGGTTTAGAGGTGGGAGTGAGCGATGGGGGGGGGGTGGGGGGGCTTCGTCGGTGGTTACCGGATGGAATCAGCTGGTGCCGGAAGGAGCCCCAGACACCGTCGCGCCACACGTTCATCACCAAGTCCTTCTGGATGACCGCTGCTGGGATGGAGGACGAGGGCAGACTCGGCGATTTCGAGCCGGCCTCCAGGTTGCTGACGAACAGAGACCTGCGAGAGAGAGAGAGCGAGAGAGCGACAGAGAGAGAAGAGAGGCGCGACCATCATGCTGCTGCCACGTTCCCATGACCGCTGGGAAGCTGTTGCCACCGCGTAGGTTGTTCGCGTTTGGGCTGTACAGCTCTCCGACGTGTTTTTTCAGATTGTGCCGTACGCTTTTCGGCACGATGTCTGACATTTTGGCACGGACGCACGCGCGCACACACACACACACCTGATGCGCTGGCCGCCGGGCTCTTGGCGCAGGCAGTTCACCATCCCCACGATGCCAGAGTGAGCGCAGGCAGTGGACGTGAGGAACACAGGCCCCTCCGACTCCGCCAGCAGCTCGTCCTGCTCCCAGCGCAGCCCACACACACACACGGATACACGCGCGCACACACACGTGTCAGCGCTCGGCCAACCACGTCCACCGTCTTGTGTCTAGTCGTTTCGCAGGCGTCCACGCCAGAGTTCTTCACTGAAAATCAAATCGGCGTGTCCTGGGGGGCCACGGAACGCTCTAAGTCATACGTACAGATGTCAGGGCCGCCCAGGTCACGGGGCAGGGGTGCAAGAGGCACGAACTTTCCCCATGCCTCAAACAAAAGAGGGCCCCGCACAGAGGACCTATTTTGTCATCACTAATTAATAAGGGGGCCGCTATGCAGCATCCTACGCTGGGCCTCCATCCCCGGGCCTCCAGGATCCTGACAAGACGTTGTGACGTCGCACGGCGTCGTGAGGTCATGACGAACGTACGTGCGATCGCTTCCCTGCATGTCCCGTCTGCAGGTCTCCCTCTATCGTTTACCTCGCTGCTATCTACACCACCAATCTCTGTCTACGTCTCAGCGTGCCATGTCTCTCTACGAACCAAGTTCCAATGGGCCCCGCTCAAATTCAAACAACGCCTTGGCTCTGACCAGGTAGATCATCACGCTGCACACTCTTCTGGATCGCGGTCCTGCGGCAGAGTGAGCGGGGGCTCGAGGGTTAAAATCCTGGCCGGCGGTTGACTCGGCCTGTCATGACAACCGCGGTCTGTAAAACGACCACCGCTTCGTGGGGGAAGTCAACAGTGGATGTTCTACGCGCAGCCCCCGCGCCCGTCACGGGAACGTGGAACGTCCACCACCGGCGCCTCGGCGTGCGCGATTGAGACCGCCGCGGCGCATCGCACCTTCAGCTGCTCCACCCATCCGTAGGCGAGGTCGTCCACGGAGAGCGCCAGCGCCGCTGCTGCCGCCTTCCCGGCCGATGTCTTGCGGGCGAGGAAGATGGCCGAGCCGAAGAAGGAGGTCTTCTTGGAAACGAGGGTCAGGCTCGCGGCCTTCAGCGCCGCCTCCCACTCCGCCTGCGGACCGGCGGGGTTGGTGAAGCACGGTCAAGGGCGCCACGGAGGCGAGATGCTAACTGCCTCGCCTGGTATACAGGAGGCCGTGGGTTCGATCCCAATATATTTGAAGTGGATTTTACTCTGAGTCCTCCGGTTTTCCCCTCCACATTTAGAATCGACATCACAAATTTATTAGACTATTTGGCTGCTGTAAATGTCCACGGGAAAAGCCACTTGATTGGGCTATCATTTGTGACAGCCAGGTCGCTTCTGAATAAAGAGCTATGTAGCTCAGTGGGCCTTAGCTGATCAAATAAATAAAAAACGAGTTTACAGTTTAAGCGATGGGTTTGAAATGCTCACTGCCTTGCGGGGGCGGCCGAGTGGCGGCGCGCTCCCCGCTCCCCGCTCCCCGCGGCGGAGAGAGATTAGCAGCTCGAGCCCAGCGACCGCCCCGGTGAATACTGCGGGCGCGTTACACCCCAAAGTACGCGCCGTTTGCTTCGCAGCGGACGTTAACGACCCCCCCCGCCATCATCAGGAATAGGCCATGCGTGCGGGGCAACGCAACGCCTGCCACTGGCAGAAAACCACGCCGGGGCGGCAACCGTGCGTCCACCTTCAAGCGACCCGCACCTCCGATTGGCACGATCGGCTACGTACGGTGTGCGACAGAAGTTCAACGCACGTGCGAACGTACAGCCGGAAACCGGGCGACACCGGCAGCCCCGCCCCCGCGCTCACCCGCGTGAGCGTCGTGCGCTGGTCGGGGATGCGCCCCGTGAGCAGCCCCACGGCGTCGCCGAGCGGCGCTCCGGCGCAGACGGCGTGCAGCAGCAGGAAGCCGCCCTCCTTGAGCGCGCCGGCCATGTTGCCGAGCGAATCGCCGGCGGCGGCGGCGCCGAGCGAGCGGCCGGCCAGGTCGCAGACCAGCAGGTCGGCGCCGGGCGCGGGCGAGCCGGACTGCGCCGGGTCCCACTGCGCCGTCGTCGCCCCCAGCTCGTCCAGCTGTTCCTTGGCGGCGGCGAGGGCTTCGGGGGCGGCGTCGGTGGCGACGTAGTCGAGCTGCACCATGGGGTGCGTGTTGAGCAGCGGCACGACACGTGCATACAGCTTGCCCTCGCCCGACAGCACCTGCGCAGGGAACCGGACGCCACGGCGGACATCGCGGCGGTGACGACGACGGCGACAAATCGACGTGCAGCGCGTTTGGTATTCGCGCCGTTCCGACGGGGCCGAGGGCTGTCGCGGGTTCGCTGTGCGTCGCAGATGGGCACAGTCTGCCGGTAGGAGACGATTTTGCGATAATTATTTTTTGGCCAATTTAGCAATTTACGGATAATTTCAAATGAGTGGCAAATTTTGACGGTGACCCTAGCACACCGCTGGGACCAGTCATCGGCAAGTCCAATCAGCTCCAGATCATCCCGCACCACATCGGCCTCATTTGCAAGAGTGACCTGGGGCAGTCGACCGCCAGTAGGGAGCAATGATTGCTACTGCGCGTGTTTAATCCCAATTGAGTAATTTTGCAGTGTCATTTTCAAATTTGCCACATTTTTGATAATGACACCACCACGTGAATGACGTCAGGGGTTCTTTAACTGTGAGTGAATCAGATGGCAGGGAACATTCGTCTGGTTATTATATTCGCGGTAATAATCAGGACGGCAGCTCAATTCCCAGCTTGAACCTCTGCAACAAGTGGCCTCATCACCACCCAAACTGGCACAGTACACGCGGCACACCCACCCAACCCACCTCGGTGATCTTCAGCCTCTTGCTGGTGGAGTTCTCCAGCACAACGTCCAGGCAGTTCTTGAGCACGGGGCTGTCGAGCAGCGAGGAGAGCAGCGCGTCGTGGGAGAGCCGCCCCCGCTCGCGCGCCATGGTGGCCGTGACCTCGCCCAGGAAGCTGCCGTTGTGCGAGAGGTCGCGCAACGTGCGCAGCACCGACAGCAGGCCCCGCTCCGACTCCTTCTCCGAGTCGAGCGGCGGCTCCTCCGCGTCCGCGCCCGAGCCGATGACCGCGTCGTCAAGGCCGGACACGGGGAACTTGATGCCGTGGCTGCGGAACTTGGCGACGACCTCCCGGAGGCACTCTGGGCGCGAGCGGAAAGGCGGGGGGTGGCAAGGGGGGGTGGGGGGGGGGAGAGCAGCTTTTATCCTGTGTAGCGGACGGCCGCAAGCCACGCCAGACAGCTCGAGCTTGCTGCCGTGTGGAAACGTGGTTACGTGGTTAACGGCAAGAGCCGATTATCCGTTTGACTGGTCAACCGATATGCGAGGCTTGGCGACGTCATCATTATCGGTCGCATCACGGCGGGCGAGGCTTCCGGGAGGGAAAGGGTTGGATGTCAATTAGAATTTGTCGTCAGTAATCGACAAATTGTTCCGGCTCTGGCAATGGCGCTCATGGAGCTGAGACAGAGCGTTTGTAGTCGGGCGCTAATGGACGGGTGACGGTGGTGGGGTGGCGTCTCTCACGACGGACCCCGCGAATCGGGCTCACCCGTGCAGCTGCGGGAGTAGGCGTGCAGCGAGGCGTGGCGCCCGGCGTCGGCGAGCAGGCCCTGCTGGTCGTAGGGCACGAAGTGGAACTCCTCCAGCACTGGCGGTGCCTGCTGCTGCTGGCGCCGTGGGGCCTGCGTGGCGTGCAGCCCCAAGATCTCCACGCCGCCGGCCACTGTCCGGTCCAGCACACGGTCCACCGACACCTCCACCGCTGTCGGGACAGAGGTGCAGTGTATTTGTACACGCATTTTTTTTGAAGTGTTTTTGTTCACCCCCTCGTATGCTGTGCCGGTCTTCATAGGTGCTCGCTAACGGCACTTGCCCCAACAGCCTGTGTAGCCCACTCGGGGCGATCTTTGTCCTCGTTCATGTGTCCCATTTTTACATACATGCGTGCATGCCTGCATATCCCTGTGTGCGTACGTGATCACGTGTCCACGTCTGCATGCACGCCCATGCTGACGTGTATATCAGCACTTCAGTCGGTCGGTCATTGAGCTAAGAAGCTCTTCGTGACTCAACAGTCCGGTCGAGGCTACCCGGGGGACCTTTGCCTTTGTGCCCATACGTGCGCGCGTGCGCGTACCCGTGCGTCCGTCCCCGTCCTGCGCGGCGCGTGCCGCGTGCGCTTCGGGGTCGATGAAGACGGAGCGCACGCGCGTGGGCAAGCGCAGGCTGCGGCCCTGCAGGCCCAGCACCAGCATCTGCAGCATCGCGTCCAGGAACGGCACCCAGTTGCCGTCCCACGCCAGCCGTCCCTGCGAGCCTGGGTGGAGGGGGGGGGAGAGGCCACGGCGGGTCAGAGGCGGGAGATAATGCAGCCTCCGCGCGGCAACGGCGAGGAGACACGAAGGGAGAGCGAGAAGGGGAGGAGGACGCGGTGAAGCTTTGCGGAGGGGCGCGCCGTGCATGGAGAGCAGACGCCATGGTGGTGCTGGGAAGCTCGTGGGCCCCACGGGGCCGGCACGGTCCACGACTACACTTAATTGGGACCGCGGCCGCAGGAGGCAATCGTGTGTGTGTGCGTGCTCGCTAATGTGTGGCCCACCATCGGCATTTGAAAATCTTATTCGGTGATGCTATGGAATCATGGTGCTATGAGAAGAGTAATCTTGCGGAGAGGCTACGGTTAGGTGTAGCCATGAGGTGGAGGGTACGTGGGGTGGTGACTAAGCTATGGGGGCGGCGAGGCTACGGACTTGGCGAGGCTACGCTCTGCGTTTAGCGACGCCGTGTGACCGACGACGACGACGACGAGGCTCTCGCCTTGCAGCGCTGCCGTCCCCACCACCGCCTCCCTGCGCCGCGAGCCTCACCGCTGTTGTTGGCCTGCAGGATGCCCTGGAAGGTGGGCCCGTAGTCGTATCCCCGCAGCCTCAGCTCCTTGTACACCTCGCTGGCCGACAGCGGCAGCTCCGATTCCGGCTTGGCGTCCGGCACGGCCGTAATGCGGCTCCGCAGGTTCTCCAGCGCCGTGTCTTCCGGAATGTACACCTTGCCTGGGGCGGGGTTGCGGTGGGGGTCACGTTTGAGCAGGAATCCGCTTCGGCTCCGTCGAGCTGGAACCAGACGACAGTTCCCCGTTGGCGAACGAGTGAAAGAATGGATGGATGAGTGGATGACTCCGTACCGCTCACAGCCAGGTTCTCGCCCTCGGACACCTCGAAACGGTTTGAGGACGGCATGAGGCGGACCTCCAGCTGCACGGAGCCTGCACGGGGTCGGACGTACGCACGCAGACACGCACGCACACAGACACACTCATTAATGGACTTGACCAAACATCAGACTCGGGAGAGCATTTCTGGGAAAGTAATGGGAATCGTTAATATTACACACGCTTGTGCTTCTTCCATCGATACATCCCAGTTTGTCGTAGTGTAGCACCGTGTAGGTGGCGGCTCTGGGGTGCGATCAATGGGCAGAGTGCTCTGGTGGCATTTACGTGTGTACGTTGAACTTCTCTCGCACCGCACACAGCCAACCGTGCTAATCAGAGGCGTGGAACGGTTGCGTTAGGACGTGCGCGCCGAGAGTTGGCACCGACGAAGGTTCTGGCCTCTCCTCCGATTGGCCGAATTTCGGACACGCCCGCCCAGCGCTCGGCGCGGCTGCCCCTCGGGACCGTCATGACGCGCTCCGGGCTGGCGCCAGGTCGTTCAATTGAAGAGCGCTCTCTCTGAAGCACTCTCCCCGCTGAGCGCAGCACCCCCGGTGTGATGAGGGAGGGAGGGACGATCGTTATAGGAAGGTGGGGGAGGGGCGCACGCTCACCAGCCTTGGGCAGGATAGTAGCGCGGTGGATGGTGACGTCCTCGAACACGACGGGCAGCGTCTCGGAGGAGAGCCCCGCCTGGCGCAGCAGCGCTCGCCACGCCAGCACCATGTAGCCCGTGGCAGGGTACAATACGCGCCCGTCGATGCAGTGGCCCAGCAGGTAGCTGTCTGGGGACTCGGGGCTGGTGTCTGCAGGGAGCGACGGGTGTGGGGGGAGACGCGCGGCGGCAACACGAGTCACGGAGACGCCGAGGCGAGGCGAGAAAACCGTCGCCGTTATTCTTATCGGTGTCCGTCTCACGAGCCATCTCGCGCTCCGCGGTGAGACACGACTGCGGGACCGGGAGGAACGGCGACGGCTTGCGGACTCGCTCGTCCGGCAGCAGATTGATCCTGGCTGCTGCCGATGATGTGCATGGACGAGCGATTGTGTTGGAACGAGGTGAAGTGTTGCGTCGCAGGGGCGCGAGAGGTGGCGACGGATGGGGGAGGCCTTCATCCAGTAGTCGATAGATCACGGTTGACGATGCTGCTGATGATGCTGATGAGTGAGACAGTCGCTTCACAGGACAGGAGTGGAAAATCCATCGCTGATGATGCAGCAGTCACCGTGATGATGGTGCTGATGATTACAATGGTGACGATGGTGCCGACGATGACAATTCTGGTGCAGACGATGACGATGGCGGTGCAGGCTATGACGATGGCGGTGCAGGCTATGACGATGGCGGTGCAGGCGATGACTACGATGATTTACGCGAGCGTCTCACCGATGTTGAAGACGACGGCACCGCCGCCCCCGCCGGAGCCTGAGGGGAAGTCCTCTGCGCGCGGCACGTCCCACGCCTGCGAGTGGTCCCACACGACGTGCGGCGAGATGAGCGGCGTCCCGGCCTGCACCGGGAACTGGGCCCCCTCTTCCTGGTACAGCTTGTTGGGGTTAGGGTTCACCCTGGTGCGGGAAACATAGGTGCGCCACGGTGGCGAGATGTTAACTACCTCGCCTGATATACATGAGGTCATGGGTATATTTGGAGATTGCGTGCTTCTCTCCCCGTGATCGTGTGGATTTTTCCGGTTTTTCCCTCCATTTAGAATCATGCGTTTTAGAGCATTTGGCTGCTATAAATTTCCACGTGATAAGCCACTTCGTTGAGCTATCATTTGGGGCCAGGTCGCTTCTGAAAAAGAGCTACATAGGTCAATGAGCCTTACCTGGTTAAATAATAGTGTAACATGCCCGCGTGGAAACATTAAAGATTTTATGGATTTTTCACGTGACGTAAACGTCCAGCGAGTCCTTGTGCTAAGGAAACTGGTGTCGTGTGACGACACGCGTGTGTGTGTGTGAGGGTCAGCATGTACGTGTGTGTGTGTGTGGAGCGAGCCGTACCCGCTGATGTAGAGCTTCCCCACACTGTTGAGGAAGAAGCGAAGGTTGTCCTTCTGGTCGCGCTTCATCAGGGGAATGAACGAACACGTGGGTTTCAGGCTGCGCTTCAGGATCGCCTGGGGAGGGAGACGGCGCATGGCGCAGCACGCATGTCACATGAGTGGCATGGCACACACACACACACACACTGACCCTTACACACACACACTGACACACACACACACACCGACCCTCACACACACACACACACTGACCCTTACACACACACTGACCCTTACACACACACTGACACACACACACACCGACCCTCACACACACACAAAACACGCAGACCCTCACGCACGCGCACCTGCAGCAGGGCGTGCGGTGCGATCTCGATGACGGCGGCGTCGACCGGCACCAGCTGCAGCGCCTCCTGGAAGAGCACGGGGCTCACGAGGTTGTTGACGTGGTACTCGGCTGACGAGTACGTGGCCAGAGGGCTGCCCCAGCTCTCCTCGCCGATGGACGTGCTGATCCAGCGCGCCGAGCGCTCGCGCGGCTGCTTGATCACCTGCGGGCCCGGCGGCACGGCGGACGCGCCAGTGAGCCGGTGGGGTGGCGAGGCGTAGCGGTGGCGCGATCAGCGCTCGTTGCAGAGGTCCACGGCTCGAAACCAGTGGCCGCCCTGGTTAATACTGCGGGAGTATTAACCATAGAATACTACGCGCCGTCCGATTCATTCACAGTGGACGGTAAAGATCCCGCTGATGCCGGCGTCATGCTTCCAAGCTTTTGCCGATTTTAAAAAAAGTTTACTCGCAAATTACTCCGGTGGGATCTACACAGCAATCGTCGCCCCCCCCCACCACCACCCCCCCCCCCCCCCCACCCCGCTACTACTTGGCAGGACCCTCCTGAAAACGAGTCGGGAGACACGGCGAGGCCTTCACGGACGAACGTAACGAGGAGAATAACGGCGACGTCGGCATGACGACGGACTGCGCGGGTTACCTTCTGCAGGGCGGCGAGCAGCACGGGTGCGATGGAGGCCATGTAGTGAGAGTGGAAGGCCACGCCGGCCGTGCGCACCTCCTTGGCGAAAATCTCCTTCGCCTGCAGCTGCTTCACAAACTCGGCCACCGCGTCCTAGCGGGGTGTGGGCGGGGGGGGGGGGGGTGGGGGCGGCGCAACGAGCCAGGCAAAGACAAAGGTTCCCCATGTAGCCTAAACAGAGCGTTTGCGGGGCAAGTGCCGGGAGCGAGTAGCGCTCGTGAAGGCCGGCAAGGCGCGCCAAGGGGGTGGTTTGGTCAACACCGCGCCCGGCCACCTTTGTCTCCCCGGTACTGATGTTTTACACACACCGCACCGGGTACTCATTTAAGGCTGAGTCGCCCTAGGGGGTGGCCCACAATGGGTTTGAAACATTCGCCACTGTTAATGGTCGTGAGCGAGAATCGAACTTGTGTCGCAGGGTTCACACCGCGGTACGCTAACTGCTGCACACGTGTCCTCTCTGTGCATGTGTAATCAGTGTAGAGGTGCTCGCTAACAGCACTGGCTCCAACATTCTGTTGAGGCTAAACGGGGGATCTCTGTCTTTTGTGTGTGTAAGTACAAGTGTGAGCGTTCTCGCGTGTGTGTGTGTTTATCAGCGCATGTGTGTGTATATCAGCGTGTGTGTGTGTGTGTTTATCAGGGCATGTGTGTGTACATCAGCGCGTGTGTTTATCAGTGTATGTGTGTGTATATCAGCGTGTGTTTATCACTGCATGTGTGTGTACATCACTGCATGTGTGTGTACATCAGCGCGTGTTTATCAGTGCATGTGTGTGTACATCAGCGTGAACGTGCGCGTATGTGTGCGTCTCTTTTGTGCACACCGCACCTTGGGGCCGGAGATGGTGACGGTGTCCTCGGAGTTGTGGCAAGCTGGCACCACGCCGGGCGGGCACTGCTTCTTGCACTCGGCCCATGTGAGACCTGGGAGCAATGGCAAAGAACCAACAACCATGCTCGCTCACTACTTTCCTCGCTCAACTGCTCACTCACGTACGCTCGCTCACTCACTCGCTCACTACACACTCGCGCGCTCGCTCGCTCAACACACGCTGCTCACTCACTCGCACTCTTATCTTCCATCAATTCACCGCTTGTTGTTCAACACGATGTCCGACGTTTCGCTCCGCATGCTGAGAGCTTCCTAACGCAGCTTCGCACGTGGAGTCGCTGAACATTACGCGGTACGACCGAAAAATAACCGCGACAAGTCACGCTGTGGCGTTTTACAGGGCAGTCGCACAAATGTGATTAGCTTAAGGCGCTTTATCATGAAAAGGAGGTGTCATGGACCATTTGCTCATTTGGCACACATCCCATGTGAGCAAGCGAGCGAGCGAGCCAGCGATGCACGCGACTGTACGAGCCTGCCTCACGAGAATGCACGAACGTGCACGTAGCCGTGCACGAGCTTGTGTGCGCGTGCGATGGTGATGATGATGATGCGAGCGCGTCTCTCACCGACGGCCGCCATGGCGCCCGCGGGGAGCTTGGCCTCCTTGATGCAGCGGCCGCGCCAGTACGCCGCCTGCACGACCTCCTGCCGCGACAGCGAGCCGTCCGCGTAGCCGCACGCCAGCTCGCCCACCGAGTGGCCCACGATGCCGTCCGGGCGCAGCCCCATCTCCACCAGCATGTCGATCTGCGCGATCTGCACGGCGTACAGCGGGCGGCAGCAATGCACGTAATGTCAGCCGCTTTTAAGAACACGCCACCGGGGTGAGGCCGCCGGGCCCAGATGACTGGGGCGAGGCGGCCGGGGGCGGCTTGGAGGTCGGAGCTCTGAGTCTACAACCGCTGACAAATCGTGGATTCGAATCCAGGGGAAGCCCTCATCTAGCAGAGGATAGATCACGGCTGTTGAGGACGTGGCATCTGGCATTCGGGGCAGGGAGCGAGCGGCGGAGCCGCAGGCCGGCGGGCCTTGCCTGAATGGCGGCGAGTCCCACGAAGGAGTTGACCGTGTCCTCGAAGGTGGACTTGTCGGCGTGGGTGAGGAGCCGCACGAGGTCCAGCCCCGTGTCGGACAGCGCGCTCGCCGTGCGCTCCACCGACGCGCGGAACGAACCCAGCGACATCAGGTCCTTGCCCATGCCCGGCCACTGCGTGCCCATGCCTGCGCTCACGCACGGGCGCAACGAGGAAGATCCCCACCACCCCCGTGAAGCCTCAACAGACTGCTGGGGCAAACGCCGCTAGCCAGCAGCACCTATGCAGGCCGGCACGGCACACGAGGCAGTGCGTTGCCGGCACCACGCCCGGCCGCTTTTGTCTCCCCAGTGGCGATGTTTACACCATGCACTAGTTATTCATTTGAGGCTGAGTTGACCTCGGAGAGGCCAAGGACTAATTTAGGAAATCGTCACCGGTAATGGGACGTGAGCGGGAATCGAACTCTGGTCCCCGGGTTCGTAGTGCAGCGCGTTAGCCGCTGCAATACCACTCGCACACGGACACACAACCTACACAGGCTGTTACGGCGGGGGATGTTAGTGAACACCAAAGAAGGCCGGCACGGCACACACAGGGGTGGTGTGGAAAAATCCTCAATGCACTCGGTAATAATTTAAGGTTTCAATAGACCTAGGCGTGGCCCAGGTTCGCAGTTCATTTAGAATGCAGTGAATAAGTTTAATCATACGACATGATTCGAAACAAATTTTGTGGGTTGGACCACCCGACAGAGCCAAAGTAATTTCAGTTTAACGCAACGGTGATCACCGCGACAGTGACTACGCCGCCGCCGCCGCCGCCGACGAGAACGACGACAACAACCACAGCAGCGGCACTGGCTGAGCGGCACCCACCTGAGCAGATGTACCAGAGCGGACGGTTGCTGGCGCCCTGCCCGACCTCCTCCTCCTCGCCCCCCTCCTCGTCGGCGACGAGCGTGAAGCCTCGGAACGGCATGCCGGTGGTGGGCAGTGCCGACACCTCGTTCAGCAGCTGCACCAGCCCGGGGCTGTCGGAGTTGGCGCGCGCGTGCGACAGCATCGCCGACACCGCCTCGGCGGTCCTTCCCGCCGCCAGCGCCAGTTTGGGCACGCCGGGCTCCGCCACGTCGGTGCCGGCGGTGCCGGCGCCTCCCGGCTTGCCGTACGGCTGCAGCACCACGTGGACGTTGGAGCCGCCGAAGCCGAATGAGTTGAGGCCGACGACGCCGCCACGGCACGGCGTGGGCGTCGTCACCACGGTGATACGGCCGTCCGTGAGCGCCGGGATGTCCGGGTTGGGCTCGTGGTAGTGCAGGTTGGGCGCCCACACGCCATGCTCCAGGGACAGGATCACCTGAACGCCCGGGCACAGGAGGGGGCTTTATCGGGTTCGGTGCCATCCGTCCCGTCCGTCCGTAATGCAGCGATCGTGAGAACTCCCGTAACGACGACGACGACAACTCTCGGGGAACGCGTCCGAGGGGACGTACAACGCGGAGGCGGAGTGGCGGCTTCAGCTCCGTGCAGGGGCAGCGAGATGATGGGATCGCTGCCTCGCAGAACCGCGAGGGATGATGATGATTTAGTACAATAACTCAAGAGAGGTAAGCAGGAGATGGAAAGGAGATGGACATGAGATACAGCGAGTACAACAAGACAACGATCCCCCGTACAGCCTTTTGCAGCCTGTTGGGGCAAGTGCTGTTAGCGAGCACCTACAAAGCCCAGCACGGCACACAAGAGGGTAGTGTGGCTGGGAACACGAGCGGCCGCATTTGTCTCCTTAGCGGTGACGTTTTACACACCGCAACAAGTACTCATGGCCCAGGACCGATTCAAATATTCGCCGCTGTTATTGGTCACAAGCGGGAATGGAACTTGGCTCGCCGGGTTCAAAGCGCAGTGCGCTAAACCGCCGCGCAGCAACAGACACGCGCACGTACGCACATGGGCGCCAAACTCACCTTGGCCAGCGCGGCCAGGCCGGACGCCGGTTCGGGGTGGCCCATGTTGGACTTGGTGGAGCCGACGAGAAGGGGCGGGCGCTCCCCCTGGCAGAAGACGTTGACGATGCCGCCAGCCTCCTGCGGGTCGCCCACCTTGGTACCGGTGCCGTGCGCCTCCACGTACTCGACGGTGCTCGGCTGCACGCCGCACTCGGCGTACACGGCACGCAGCAGCTCCTGCTGCATCTCGCCCGACGGGAACGTCACGCCTGCGGCGGGCACCACAACACACACACGCACGCGTTAGCAGAGGCGCGCTAACAAAGACTAAGATACCCCCGTGCAGCCTTTAACAGACTCCCAGTAAACATGGAAAGTGGCCGTGAGGTTGAAACCATTGGTTGGCCCAATGTTCCACGTTTACTGGGCCGTTGGGATAGAGCATTGTTAGCGAACGTACAAAAACCCATGCACAAGCGCACGGATGCACAGAGGCAGGGTGGGGACTCGTGTTGTTGTAGCTGCGTGTGCGTTACCTTGTTCCTTGTATCCGTCCGTGTTGCTGCGTGCGTTGAGCACGGTGGCGTACACACGTTTGGCGAGCCTCTTGCTCGTGAGCAGCACCACCACGGCCGCCTCGGAACGGCAGTAGCCGTTACCTGGATATGCGGACGGGGGAGGGGGGGGGGGCGGGTGGAGGAGCTTAGGGGGCGCGAAGGTGCCAGCAGCAATGGCCAATCCGTCAGTGCGGCACTGGCACCGCTCATCCCAACCGCCATCCACGACCATCATCAGGCATCGTTACTTATGTTTTATACCGCGCCTCCCATGCAGTACGTGAGACACCAGAACAAAGGTAAATGATTAACACTGCACGTTGAAGATCCCGTGACATCAAGGACAAGGTGAGGATCATTGTGTGCCGGTGTCAACAGTCCAACTGTGCCAAAATTTACAAAATGACACCGCAAATTACCGATACGAAATGGACACAGAAATCATCGCACTTGGCAGGAGCCTCGCGAAAAAGTCATGAGACTCAGCGAGGCTCTCCTGGGAAAATACGCGGAGCAATAATAATCACTACAAAATTCACGATACTTCTGGTGAAGCTGTTCCACAGCTCTGGTGTTAAAAAACACAGGGCAGGCCTGACCGCTGTGACCCCATTCATTCGTGCTCGAAAGGGAAAGCAGATTGAAAATTGATGTTATACAAACTTTACTGATATCCCAGGTGATTGTGGGAGCTCTACCTTGAGTTATGGCCTCGTTAAGGATTTATGGGCGTGCTGCTGCAGATGAGACACAGCCACCTAACAGCAGCAGCTGGCGCGACCTTTGAACTCGTCACGCTTCGCCGCACGAGCCATAATTTGTGTTTATTATTACTATCATCACCATCATCGTAATTATAACCACAAGGCACGGCTGATAAAAAAAAAAAAAAAAACACCAGGCCGGTACCGGTGTAAAAAAAGTGGACATGCGGTAAACCGTCGACGCACCGGCGGCGTCGAAGGCCTTGCAGGTCCCCTCGGGGCTCAGCATGCCAAGCTTCATGAACTGCACCGAGGTGTTGGGCTTCAGCAACAGGTTGACGCCGGCCACCACGGCCGCCTCGCACTGGCCCGAGCGGATGGCCTGGAAGGCGTTCTCCAGGGCCAGCAGGCTGGACGAGCACGCCGTGTCAATGGCCGAGCTGGGGCCTGCGGAGTCAGGGAGGGAGCGAGGGGCGGGGGATCGGTGTGTATTTTTCTCCAGGTCCTCCGGTTTTGCCCTCCACATTTAGAATCAACGTGCTATTAGAGTATTCGGCCGCTATACATGTCCACGTGACGAGCCACTTCGTTGAGCTATCACTTCCGTAAAAGAGCTACACAGCTAAGTGGGCCTTACCTGGTAAAATAGCAGCAGTGGGAAACCTTTTCCTTATTACCGATGCTGGGTTTTTTTATAATCGCAAACCAGTGTTTTTTATGAATGCTGTGGTAAATCAGTGTTAATTCTGATGGTTTTAGCAAGTGGCCTAGTATTGTGAGCATGTATCGTGGGCCCTGGTGCAATGAGTGAATGGGCCCCCCTCCCGCCCCCTGAGTCCAATACTGCCCCTCTTGGCAAGTGTGGCATCTTAGCCTATCCTCCGGCCCGCAACGCTCCCTCCCCACCAACCCCCAGTGCAGAAGAACTGACGGCGCTCTTGACAGCAATGTCGCTGGCGCTCACCTTTGAGGTCGAAGAAGTAAGAGAGGCGGTTGGCAAGCATGGCGCGCTGGCAGCCCGTCATGCTGTAGCCCAGCAGCTCGGCGGGGTCGCGGCTCAGGGCCTCCCCGGCCTCCGAGCCGCTTACGCCCACCCATACGCCCGTGTTGGTACCACGCAGCAGCTGTGGGTTCAGGCCTGTCGCACGCGCGCACACACGGGAGCACGTGAGGTAGGGTGCATGGAATGTGCGGACAATAACAACCCCCATTTGCCACTAAGTAGTGGTGACATCACCACGGCGCTTGTGCCAGGCTATGTGCACGTTAAGGCCAAGTGAAGTGTCGAACGCCCGGGGCAGACCCAGGTGCCACGGGTCGACTGACTGAGATGACTGGCCGATACACCACCTGTGCCCCCTACTAAGTGCGCACACACACACGCACGCACGCACATGAATACACAAAGATCCCCCGTATAGCCTTAACAGACTGTAGGGGCAAGTGCTGTTAGCGAGCACCTATGAAGGCCGGAACGGTACACGAGGGGGTGGGTGGCCAGCACCACGCCCGACCGCCTTTGTCTCCCTAGTGGCAATGTTTACACACCGCACCAGGTACTCATTTGAGGCTGAGTCGACCTAGGGGAGGCCCGGGACCGGTTCAGATAATCGTCACTGGTGTTGGCCGTGAGCGGGAATCGAACCCGGGTCGCCAGGTTCATAGCGCAGCACGCTAACCGCTACACTATCGCTCCCCACATGCGCGTGAGCACATGCATGCACGTGCACAAGTACGAATTAGTTTTGAGCAAACGCAAGCGACGAGCACGCACGCAAGAGCAAGCAAGCACAGGGACGCACACGCACGCTCGAGTACAGGTCTGTACCCTTACACGTGGACTCCACACAAGCACCGGAGTGACAGCGCGAACGTGCGGACACACAAACGCTTGAACGACAGACGAGCAAACGTGAAACTGTGAAAGGCAAATACGGATAACACAAGAACACGCAGATAGGTGGATGGCAAACACAGATCCACCGATGCGAAGGCATGAATTCAAACTGTGAACACCAAAACCCACAAACGTGTGAACGACACATTCACGGCAAACAACGCGCGCACACTCAACCAACGCAGACGAGCAGACCGAAGTGAATGCACGCGGAATGGACGCGCGGCAAATGAGAACGGCTGACAAACATGCACACAGGGACGCGCGCACGCAGGCACGCAACGCGTTACCAGCATCTACGATGGCTTCGTAGGTGAGCTCCATGAGCAGCCTGAGCTGGGGATCCATGGTGTTGGCTTGTTTGGGATGAACGCCAAAGAACGCCGCGTCAAACTTGCTGATATCCTTCAGCTTGCCGTTTCGAGGGGGCAGCCCGTACAGACCTTGCGGCACGGGGATGGAGGACGGGATATTGAGTAGAGTCGTCAGGGGCACAGCTACAATGGTTACCGTTCCTGTGAGCAAATCACTCCTCGATTCCTCCACCCGTGTTGAGGCCTCGGCCTATCAGACACCGACCGAGTCATCTCGTCCATCTCACTGTGTTCAACCACCACCACTAACACTGCAGGTCACAACCACACACTCACCCGCTCACCCTCACCCTGCCCGCTTAACCACTCACCCACTCATTCATTCATCCACTCACTCATTCACCTTTTTACCAATTTACCACACTGCTTTTCCCCAAGCTCTGACAATAATAACCTTGTACAATTCAAGAAGAGTATTAGCTCTTATCTACAACAACTTTAATCAGCGCTGTTTGTTGATGGCAAATTTGCATTTTATGGGCCTGTGCTTAGCCACCGTGATAAAGATGAAGTTTTTTGGGAAAACCAGGGCAGGTGGTAACCCCAACCGCTCGACCATCCCACCTGGTTTCCAGCGACGGTCATCTTCTGTCACCATGTCCACCCCGTTGATGAGGTTCTCCCAGAACTCGTTGAGGTTGTCAGCTTCTGGCAGTTTGCCCGCCATGCCGGCTATCACCACCTCGGTGGCCATGTTACTGTGGAAAATGGCGGAGGGGTGGGGAGGAGGAGTAATGAGAAGGAAACAACATTCACAGCGCAGCTACTGACACCAAAACCACCGGTGTAGCTCTGGAGTGTGCAGGCCGTCCAATTGCACGGGATCCCAGGTTCCAGGCTACGAAGAGGTGGGAAGGCAGACAGGTTGTGGGCAGGGGGGGGCCTCTGCCAACCAACCATGCTAGGCCACAAGCAAAGGTTGGGGAAGGGGCAACATTCGGAGCACAGCAGTGACCAAAATGTGTGGAAAGTCACAAAGCTGCACTTTTGTTGCGCACCCTTCACACTAGCGCCGTCTAAGTGTAATTAAAATGGAGGACGTGTGCGATGCGAACATCACCCAGGGTTTCCGAGGAGACGCCTCCAGTGTGGCATACAGTAAATGATTTTAAACGCAAGCGACAACACCATCAATAATTCAGTGGGCCCGCTGCGCGTTGAGTATACACGATATGTGGCGCACTCTGCGAATAAGGTAATCAAACATCGTAATCAATGGGCTGGTTTTTTGAGGCTTCATCATCTTTCCGTGATGTAGATTTACACATGGCATTTAGTACAGGAAAAGAGCTCAATAAGATAAATATTTAATTAAGTTTATAATCTATATATATGGAGCAGCATTGAAATCCGGCCTGGTGGCTCAGCCGGTACAGAGCGAGCGGTTTGCAATCGCAAGGTTGCGAGTTGACACCCTGTATGGGGGTTCGACTCAACCCATCATCCCTCCTGGGGTCGCTAAAATGAGTCCCACTTTGTGAAGAAGTCAATAGTGGTTGTCCTGTTGATAGACTCACCCCTGTCAAAGCAGTGAGTAATGTCCACCACTGGCTCAGGGCTGTAAGTTGGAGAGCCGAGATGCTCATTTGAGCAAGACATAACTTTGACCCGACAAGTACCGCTGCTGGGTGGATTATTACAACGCAGGATCACAAGAGATGGCGACAACTTGGAGAGGCCTTCATCCAACAGTGGATTGATCATGGCTGATGATGATTTATCAGTGACACATTGATTTTCGCAACAGCATTGGCAAGGAACTTGATCCCTGGAACTGTTGCAGATGCTACAATTTAGAGTGGGTTTACATTTAAAAAGAATATTATTGGTGCACGGTGATCTACAAAAATGGTTTTGAAGGTTGACAGTGAGCACTACACAGGTCCAGACTGATGAGGAACCACTGCTTTAGGGCACTGGCGCATCCTGGGTGGAGCGGGGGTTATGGGGTGATATTGCAATATAGAAATTATAGTCCCAGGGTTGAAATTCAAATAGTGCAATGTGCTCCACAGGCCATCTGGCATTCGCCTCATTGAGCGACCTTACCAGGCCACGTTTCAGTACCGAAACGCAATCTAAACCCACCATAACGAGGACTTAGCAAGCATGACCTCCTCCACTGCCCATCAGTGACAAAATGACTCTGTATATTGTTAACAGTTATCTCAATTATGTATTAAGGGTGCAGTGGTGGCGGCGGCGGTGGCGGCGGCACGTTGTGCTATGCACCCGGAGCGCCCGAGTTCAACTCCTGGCCACAGCTAATCTAAGTGGCAGGTTATATCAGTGATGGTCCTGCCACCCTCACCAACCACCCCCCCCCCCCCACCCCATTATCCAACCCCAAGCAACGCAGATTGACCAGCGTGGTGAAGTATGGTTAAAAACAAACCCATGACCGGTATAACTTGGTTAAACCTCTATATTTTTGGTGGATTGGCTGGAATCTACGTATTTAATGTGCAGTATTTATGTTTTGATCTAACACACAGTAGTATGATGGACGGTCCCTCCAACATCATCACTAAAGGAAGGCCTCCATCCATTAACATTGCATGCTGCCGTGCGCTGGTAACCAGTTAAAACATAAAACAAATATATTGCTGACTTTTGACACACGATAAAATAAAATAAAACATGAAAAATATATATATATGAAACAAACGTATGCGTAAACAACCATTTGTTGTAGTTTCCATCAGCCACGAATTCATTTTACGTGGAAGCGGTCACGAACCGGTCGGGTCTCTTCACGATACCAACACGTTCCCGCCAAATTCTATAACTCCATAAGTTATTAATATTTATTATTATTATTACTACAGCTCTAAACATGTACTGTACACGCAAAGCCCGTTTGTGAATCTCCACTGCTGGATGAGGGCCTTAAACTCACGGCGTGCGAGTCATGGGGGGGGGGGGGTGACCTGACCATACTTCACCACGCGGGTTCTAGCGGGATAAGTGAAGGTTAACACGTTAAAAAACTAAAATCCCAAAAGACAAGCAGGACTGAGCCTCCATAATTAAATCGTTGCATGTGTTGATCACCAAACGCTAACAAAAAAAAACCAAGAGATTACGTGGGTGTTTGTGGTTAGGTGAAATAATCTTGGGTGGTGCAGCAACACCCACGGTGCTGTACTCACACCTCGCATTGACCGGAGTGGTGAAGTATGGTCGAATGATCCTCACTGGCCCCAGCTGCTGCACGGCGAAGGGAAGGCCCTGCCAACAACCCACTCATCCAGCAGTGGATAAACCCGACGGGCTGCAAGATTAACTGTTGCTAGACGTGTACAACTCTGTTAAATTTCGATTTAAAGCTTTCGTGACTGCAATGATTCATCTTCTTTGGTTCTTTCGGTAAAGTCACGTAGAATGAGAATAAAATAATAAATTGATAAAAGAAAATAACACAATAATATTCTCGCGACGTTTCGGCCACAACACAAGCGGCCTTCATCACTCCAGCGCTGTCCTACCAGACAGTCTCGTCCTTTCACCTGATGAAGGCTGCTTGTGTTGTGGCCGAAACGTCGTGAGAATATTATTGTGTTATTTTCTTTTATCAATTTATTATTTTATTCTCATTCTACGTGACTTTACCGAAAGAACCAAAGAAGGTGTATAACTGTGTTATACTTCATCAGGGGAATTGGCCGCATTATCTAGCCAGGCCGATGATTATTCTCGACGGGACTGCGTAAATATTGGCTTTGCGTGCAGTGCAGTATATCATAAAACATATTTTATTAATGACAAAAAAAATAGGTTTTACCCTTTGTGGCAATAAAACAGACGTTAAGATGTTCAAACACCACCTGCATTAACCACCCGTGCTTGTGGTGAACCTGCTCTGATAAATATAACATACAAGCATTGTCTTTTAAACTGATTGATCTACACCAGAGGTAGCCTTCTTTATGGCCAAGTGTCAGGCCACGGAATGGCAAAAGGCGAACAGTACAAGGACAATGCACGATCATAGCAGCTACAAAATGGGACCTTTTTTGTGCCAGTATCAAAGTATGAAAATAAAAATAAGTTGTTAAGCTGTTCAAACACCAAATAAGAAACATTTAGCAAGCAATAAAGTCTGCATTAACCACGTATTTTTTTTCAGTCAGTTTTATGTTGTAGGGCGGGTGGGGGGGGCAGAAATCCAAAAGTTTATATTGAAACTTATACTTAAAAAAAACTATTACATTTTGTGTAATTAAGGTAGTTGCAGTTTATATAAAAAAAAGCTTAAATTTTAAAGCTTCAACAGCGTCAGAAGCCGCGTCACGTGACCGGTACATGTCGCGCGCGCGTTCGGGCAACGTGACCAGCGATTCGACGCGGTGACGTCGCGCGAGCAGCGACCAATAGCAGGGCGCGCTTTAGACACGGCCCCGCCCCCTAACACCACGCGGGGACCACGTGTGGAGCACGTGTCGAGGCGGGGATCCGTGTGGGTTTATCCACTGCTGAATGGAATAAAAAAAACACAAAAGCATCTCTCCACCACAGGGCCTGGGCACGTGTTTGACGACACCCCTTCTAGCTCCTTTTGCAAACACGAGCTGACTTCCATCGCCCCCAATCCTGCACCTGTGGTTAAACTATCGGGTTGTGTTTGCTCCGCATTGGCTGCCACACTCATTGGTTCGTTCCCACCATTGGCCATTGCGCTATTGTATTCGACGGTTTGCAAGCCTTTGTGGCTTGCAATTCAGAGGTCGTCGGTTCGATCGTTCTCCCGGGGCGGCGGTTCAAACAATGAGCACGTTTCTTTCTCTGTCCACGCAGCAGTATAAATGTGTACACAGCGGTGGGATAAACTGTGGGATAAACCCACTTCTAAAACGTCTTGCCAGCGTGGAAGAGTAGGCCAAATACAGTACCTAGAGTCTAGAGGGCTTCGCCGGTGTTTCCTTTAGTGGAGACATCGTCAGCATTAACGCGAGCTATGCAATTCACGACCGCACCTCCTCCGCCTTACGTAACGTTGCATTCAGTGTATGCAGCAATGCCCATGAAATTCAGTACGTACAGTAGTGGAATTCCAAAGGCGAAAGCGAATGGTGATTATAAAATAATACAGCACTGTAATTCCATAGCCCTTTGTCAATCCACTGCTGGATGAAGGCCGTCCTAGACGCCTTTGCGTTGCAAATCTAGTGAGCCGACCATGGACATCACCGCAGCATTCCTGCCACACCGAATCATAACTACACTCTGAATGTGCTTGCTTCGTTAAACCTCAAAGCTGTATAAACCGATGTGTTCTTCTGGGTCTCATTGATCCAATGCTGCCTTCACCGGACTGCAGTGCTGTACAGGTTACAGTCCCAGTAAACGTGTTAACGTTTGACTCAACGTTGACACGTTTACTGGGTTCACCCCCCCCCAATCCACTGCTGGACGACGGCCCTGACTTGTCGGCCACGCCGCGCGGATCGTGGGTTATTACGTAACCATATTTAATTTACGTCGCCGTGTCGTTGCGGATTAAGGCGGGAACATAGATGTGCAGTACAACAATGGTGCTCTTTCAGCGTACAACAAAAACAATGCCATTCAGTGGACTTAGCAGCAGAGCTGAATGGAGGGAATTGCATCAACATGCGGCTCACACACACACAGACATCCACTGTACAACACCACGACCACGCGTTAGCAACTGCAAACCGCACCAAATCGCGTGGGGGTTACGCGTACAGCCCTCCTTCTTGTCACTCCACTGCTGGATGAGGGCCTCCCCTTACGCCGCGCGGGGAGTGGGGATTGTTCCCGGTACTCGTGCGTTGGGGCAGCCTCTGTCTCCCCATCTATTGCACTACTGTGATTCCCAAGTATACGTGTAAACGTTTGGGCCAACGTTGAGGCTTATGATTGGGTGCCAACCCACCAACAGGGTGTCATAGGCGGCTTCGGAGCTACAGGGTGGGCAGCAGAGGGCAGTGGAGCAAAATCCATTATTGTACTTGCGCTGTTCTCTTGCGCCCATGCTCCCTCGCACTGACCGGCGTGGTGAAGTATGGTCAAATAATCCACACGACCCGCAACGCTATTGGTGGAGTCCCTCGTCCAGCAGTGGATTGACAAAAGGGCTGTCTGTACGTGCAGGGGAGTGTGAATACACATTTGAGATGGGCTTGCCACCTGTTCCGGGTTTGATACGGATAGTTCAGGAATTGGCCTTTGTTTTCTGGTGGCAGGAATTGATTTAAACCGAATTGTGACACTGATAGTGCGATTAACTTTATTGCAGTATGCCGCACACCATGTGTAGTGTCTGTGTTCGGTCTGTGGGGAAGGTGGCAACTTTGAGGTTGTATTTGCACTCGTGCTGAATTTCAATTAATTCAACATGAGCATTATTTTTTTAAGCCATAGCTGCTACACTTGGGTCTTTGATTTCACTTGTCCGTGAGGCGGGGGGGGTTACGTATGGATTCTTGGGGTTTGTCACTAAAATTATCAAGGTGTGGCCACGTGTTCCAGTACAGTACACATAGTACAGTACACACGTGTGCCCATACTCATGCCTTTGTCAGCGTTGGTTGCGAGCTTACACACACGTTACACGAACCAGAGAGGAGGGTTCGACTCCCGACCAAGCCAGTTCATAAAATCTTGGGACCCTTGTGTTAAATGCCAATTTAGGCACCGTAAATCACTCTGGCGACGTGTAAAGATTAGTCGACTGCTGGTGGATCAAAGTGTTGGTCCTTCAGTCGTATTTCCTCGAGACCCAACTGTGGCTGGTCAGCCAGTGGCGGCGAGTGATATCTGAACCGACCCACCCGACTCTGCTCTTCACGAACACACCAATGGCCAGTGTGGTAAAGTATGGCCAAACAACCCCCCTTCACCAATACGGTGTGGGGGGGCCTTCATCCAGTAGTGGATGGACAAATGGGCTCTACTGGCAATTAGCAAGCCTTTGGGTTGGGGGAATGTGGGAATGTTAGGTGCTTTAATTAGTCTATTATCTTCGTGCAATTCTGACCTAAACAGTTACCGCAATATTTCGAGACAGCATTTATAGCAACATTAAAACGGAATGCGATATCCTGACATTTTGGTACTGTATACTGTAATTACATGCAGTACTGTTCGGTCGCAAAATGACCAATCTCACCCGAACTGAGCCTGATCAGATCTCGGAAACTAAGCAGAGATAATTCTGGGATGGGCGACCACAAACGCCGACATCGTCAGCAGTGGACAAGCGCAGCAAAATCCACTGTTGTACTCTGCTGTGCTTATATACTCATCCGGCCGCACTGACCGGCGTGGTGAAGTATGGTCAAATAAGCCCCCCATCACCCGTTGTGAGCACAGTAATGATGGAACGTTGGTTCAATGCATGTCCAACGGTTCAAGCCACATACCAACGTTGGCTTGACGTTGACATGTTTTTCTGGGTGGAAGCCCTGTTCCCAAGCTGTGGTCTGACATTAAAGGGCTCCCCCACGTGTACACTTGCAGAACACACGCGTGACGCATGGACGCAAATATACAGTACACACTGTACTGTGACGCATGTTATCGTAGCGTGAGTCGCTCATCAAGTTGTCTGCTCACACGTGATTATCTGCGATGGCGGACCCCCGGGCCAGCAATGGCAATTCCACATTAGCATGGCGGCGCCAAGTTCATTCAAGCCCTACACATAAACCCCATGTCGTGCACGTCTCCTATGAAGGATATTGCGGTTTACGCTGCTCCGCCGTTCGTAAATACGATTCGAATTTTACAGAGAATCTCAAAGCGCCCGCATTTCAACACGTCATCACGTACGCTGGTGTCACGTCGGCGTGACACTAATGAATAGCCCCTTCTGTCAATCCACTGCTGGATGAAGGCCTCCCCCAACACGCCTTGTCGGTGTGTGAATGGGGCAAAGGTAGGGTGGAGAGGGGTTGGTTGGGGGGGGGGGCAGGGGAATTGACCGGTTCAGATGAATCACTTGCCACTGACGTTGGCCGTGACCCGGAATGCAAGTCGGGTCGCCGGGGTCACTGCGCATTGCAGTATTTGCTCTCAGGCTCGCGTTGCAACTGCCACAGGACAGGCGAACGCATTGTGTTTAAAAAAACAAAAAATAATCCATGGCTCTGCCGTCATTAGTCTTGATCTATACACCGCTGCAGGAAGGCCCCTAAACCTCCCTCGTCAAAAGCTGTCGCATTGTAAAGCCACTGCGATTTCCCAGTCAACGCAGTCAAACAAACCAACTCTGAACCGGGCAAAACCTAAGTTCGAGTCCAGGGCCACGGCCAACATGTTCAAACCGGTCCTCTGGCAATCCCTCTAATAACCACACCTCCGATTAGCACGGTTGACGACGTACGGTGCGAAAGAAGTTCAACATACGCACATACAACCCGCACTGTCCAGCGTGGTGAAGTATGGTCAAACAAGCCCGAATAACCAACATAAGGGCCCTGGGGAAATGCCTTCATTCAGAAGTGGATTGACAAAACGTTGCAAGTTAAATTCTGAATAATTATCATTAATTACACAGTGGCTCATTCACCCAAGTGAGCCGGCATGCGCTATGGAGCTAAGCAGGAAATTTGCGCCTGGCCAATGCTTGGATGGGTGAGGAGTCGACCGGAGCGGTAGGCGATGTGGCCAGTAGGTGTCAGCACTGCATGTCCACTCACTCCCGCCCCCTATACACATTCAATCCGCACTGACCGGCGTGGAGAAGTATGGTCAAATAGCCCCCCACGGACACGCAGGGCGTGGGGAGGGCCCTTTGTCAATCCAGCGGTGGATTGACAAAGGGAAAGTGCAGCAGCCATGGTAGTAGTAATGTCACGACTTACGCGTGTATGCTCAACTTCTTTCGCACCGTACGTAGCAAATCGTGCTAATCGGAGATGCGGTGATGTTCAATTTAGAGGGGGTGGGTAACACAGTGCCCTACCAAGATTCGTTAGCTACACAAATACACACGGGAACACAAATCGCTGCTGCTGCTGCTGCCTACCGCGGGGTCATGGATCGAGAGAGACACACTCAACCCGGCGCAGATAAGATTAGCGAATTACGGCACCGACAAAATCAATGGCTCGTCGCTCAGCTATTCGTTTTTCAGCCCTCCGCCGCCGACGACAGACGGCCAGGGCCCTTTGGACGAACAGTATTTATGTATTCATACGGAACACTGAGAGAAGGAGACGGGCCTTACCTGCTGTGCAGCCGAATCCGAGCAGGGATTACAGACTGATTTGACGATGACGTGCACCGGTGCGCGAGCGACGGATGAACGGGCTGGCGGAATGAATGAATGATTCACAGGATCTTTCAGACGCCCGCGGTTGATGTGAACGTCTTTTCTCTCGGCAAGAGGAGGGGGATGTCTTGTCTTCTTCCTCTCTCCGATGTCAGATTTCGGGGGTGGCGGGGGGGGGGGTCCGGTCTTGAAGCTCTCTGTAATCTTCAAGATGCCGAGGCTGACGGATAACTACCGCCAAGTGACAACGATGGTGACCGGTGCCGAATGAAGTCCGCCGAGCGATTACAATTCAGAACCCTTCCCCCGGCGAAAATGATTTAATTCTAGCGTCAAATACGACGCTGGTTCCAATCCCGATGCCGCCGCTGCTGCTGCTTATGATGATGGTGGTTGTCGTGGGAAGTGGTGATGGTGGTGGTTGGTCACAGGGGAAGGGGGGGCCTTTGGGCTGTGTGTGTGAGGGGGGGGGGCGCTGCAGGCCCTTGGTGTCCAGTGAACACACACAACCTTCCTTAGCGTAGCGCCTGTATTATATATGGATACGCAATCGATATATCTCGGAAGCGGCGACACACGTGGGGGGGGGTAGGGGCGGGTGGGGGGGTAGGGGCGGGTGGGGGGTGTCCCCCCACTTCCCCCCGCCCCACCGCGTCTGCATCCCCCCCACCCACCCTTCACCAACCCCGCCCCCTCCCCAACGACGTGGGCTGACTGTACAATTATCCGGTCTCGACCAATAGGACGGCCCCGTTGCCGTGGCGTCACAGGGTCTGGTGGCGAGCGGGTGGAGATCGGGCGATGGTTTAGCGGGGGAGGGGCTGTGGGAGGGATGAGGTGGGGGGGGGGCTGGAGGGGGGGAGGGGCCCGGGTTACCCGCGGTCACGGTCTTAGGCCTGCTCGGCTGTCCAATGAGCGCGCGCGAGGGTGATTGGTGTTGGGATAGCGTGTTCACCGGGGTGGGGGTGTTCGGTTCATTCGGCGCGTTACACGTGAAGCGTGTCACCTCGTCGTCGTCGTCGTCCCCCCTACCCCGTCACAGTGGCTATCTACCCTTCGAGCTATGGCACTCGCCTCCCACATCTCCCCCGGCAATCCACACCGCTGCGCCCCTATAACGCCGACCGCCAGCTCACTCTTGACAGCTCGCCGTCAACACCCGCGTTATAGCGAAAGGCGTGCGTGCGTGCGTTCGTTCCACGCTGTGGCACTCGCGTTGTTTAGCAGCCGCAACGCGCGCCCGAAGTTCATTTCTCCTGCACGGTATCCATGCTCCGCAGCCGGTGCTCCCCGATTGAAAGGCTTCGGCCCTCCCTCCCCACCACAAATCCGTTATGTATTAAGGTGCTGGCGATGTTAACAATCCCATCGACCGCCTGCAAGCGAAGGGATTAATATGATCGCTCCGTCTCCACGGTATCCGGAACCAGGGACTCGGATACGATCTCTCGTTTGGCTGCCATTCCGTAGCTAGTCTCGATCACCGGCTCTCGGGACCGTCTCGCCATTGGCATGTCCTTGCCCAAGCCCACTCGCCTCTCGTCACCGTGTTCATTATACCATCGGTGTGGGTAAGGATCATCGGGTGCGAATCGATTAATATTGATTCTTCAGCTCACACTACAAGTGGAATCACACTACAAGTGCAATCACTCACGTGAATGTCGTATTTGTGAATTGAGACCCCACCACCAACTCCAGCCGCTAGAGGTGACACCGTTCACTGACATGTTTAAAGAAAATCGATTCTGATTTTGTGTTGTGTATTATAAAGTTTCGTGTCGAACTAGGAACCCCGACATTACAGAGACCCATGGTATTTGTCTATACACAATCTTGACGTTCAGCAGCATTGGTTCAAGCAAGCCTGACTGTTGATGAGAGACTGAATGTCGCCGGTTCGACAGATTAAATGATGGTGAAAGTTATTTTTGTTATATATATCCCTACCTCTATCCACAAGCGCGACAAAGGAGTACACCATAGTCTACGATCTGCAGGTCGCATTTAGTTGGGTAAAGTGTGGGTAATATTCACAACTATTACATTTTTGGATAGCGTGGACGAGTATGCCAAATACCCTTTTAAACTCGTTTTTAGTCGGTGGTCTAAACAATTATATGGCCACATTCATTCATATCTTTGAGATGGTGGTCTTGACAATGCTGAGCATCGGACGTGCAGTGTGGTGGTCAAATAGCATGCACTCACACAAGGCATATGGGAGTTATTCCCTCCTACTGCTTGTGAGTGATGTTAAATCTACTCACCGACTAACCCACTCACTTACCCACCCACACCTTAACATGCTATTAATGTTTCCATCCTGCATGCAGCATCCTCCTGTAATGATGATGGGTTTTCTCATCAATTACACTGTTGAATTTGTAGTGCTGTTCACTGCAAGGGTTTCAGACATTTGTTATTTACGTTAATGCTGATAAAGGATAAAAATCAAATAAGCAAAACATTTATACATAAATAAAAATATATTAACTTTTAAATGAGCCCTCGCTAAAATATATATAATAAACTCGTTCACATTAATAGGGACCATTAAATCAGGTTAGCAATGGCGAAATTCATCGCACTCTGCCCTCTAAATGGGCACAGTGCGAAATTATTCGCACTCTGCCCTCTAAATCGGGCACAGACCCCGATGCTATTTTTCTGTTATTCGTTGTTAGGGTGCATTAGTCTGGCTGAATGAGCCCCATGGTGTGGTAGGGGTGGGGGAGGGTGAACATACGGGGTGGAGGGGGGTCACATCAGCACATACTCTCGCCCAGAATCCTGGAACATAATAACGGTCAGCCAGGCTCATCGGAGGGCAGCGATGTTGTAACGCCACGATGATGTTGCCGGGTTGCATGCCGGTGGTGCCATTGTTCCGGTCAAAGCTGTTTTCCAGAAGCGCGTGCCCCGGCCTGACTCCCCGTGCCAGCGTGCCAGGCATGGTGCAGCGACATGATGTTACGCATAGTGTAGCGGGCTAGGAGAACATCTTTCTGCACAAGCGGATGTACCTGTTGCAGAGACTCGTGCAGTGGCATAGCACAGTTGGCGTGAGCCCGAGCGCTGTCCACTTTCCCCTCCGGTCTTCGTAGCCCGGTGCCTGAGCTCATCCAACCCGTGAGAGCCCTGGTGCAGTTGCACTGTGCTGCACTGTCAATAGCTACGCCACTGGTATAGTACTGCTGTAGAATCTGCTATGACAATAGCACCCCCCTGCTGATAGCCCATCTTCGGTGAGCCCACACGACACCACATGTCATAGAAGCCACAGCACACCTGTTTTGAAACCATACCTGGTGTTGAGGCTATAGAAAATTTACAAACCTGTTTATGGAAGGGCTTTGAACACCTCCTGTATCTATACAGACTAGAGACACCTGCGGTGGCTACGTCTGCAAAGGCTATATAATATCTAGACAATGTACAGCCCTTCATTAAACCCCTGCTGGATGCAGGCCTACCCATACTGTCGGTCATAGGGTCTGTTTGACCATACTTTACGCTAGTCAATGCGGGTTGGTGAAGGATGAGGCAAGGCCGGTTCAGATATAATTCGCCAATGATATTATCTGTGGATGGGAGTCGAAGTCGGGTCACCGGGTTCAGAGCTTAGTGCACAAACCACGACGTTACCGCTCCACCAAGAGGCTATACAGGTTCTGTAAAAGCTCCCTGCTCTTGAACACCTGAACCCCAGCAATGGGTAATGGCCTAGCTGCTATGATATAATCATTGACGGCAACAATATCAATGATTGATGGAGAAGAGTGAAGGGATGGGCGGTTGAGCACGACGGGCGGCTGCTATCTATATCCCAGAGTCCTGCCTTCAACGGTGTCTGTGCCTCCTCCACAACCAACATTCAGGCTCCACCCCAAATAGGTTCAACTCCAGAAAACCCTGTAGTTTGACCTCATGCAAACGGAGAGGAGGGGGGGGGCAGACAAAAAACTCGGGTGGGTACAACAGTCAAAGTTAAATAAACTTAAAAATGATGTTAAACGCTCAACGGAGCGAGCGGTTTGCTTTTGTACATCATGCTCTCTGCCCTAGCTCTCACGCACTAAGTAGAGAGGCCTTTGTAAGAGGCCCTTGCAGTGGCAGAAGTGACCAAGCACACAAAATTAGAGCCCGTTTCCAGATAGAAAATATTGCCCGTCGAGTACCCCAATCAGTGCTGCTCGGAGAAGCTTGTATTGACAAATTCCATTTCGTGGCCATCTCACCGTACTGGTCGTGAGTGCAAGTTGGGAAAGTGGGAATATTTATGTTATAGGGAGATGGCACAGTCGGGCAGGCAGAGGAGAGAAGGAAGGTCTTGAAGCATGGGCGTATCGTGGCTAACAGGGGCCCTGATGCAAGGTATTACAATAGGGCCCCACTCTAGGGTTGCCACCTTTTACACATACCATCGGTCAGCCTGGGTCTATCATAACCAAAAATAAATAATGGATTATACTGTAACAAGGTTTAACAGAATATCACTGGATCTTAAGTCATAATACATTTCTCGTACCGGGCAGGAGGCAAGCCCTATCCCTGTCCAACTCTCCTCCCGCTTCGTCGACCGGCGCCTGAGCCCGTCTGGTCTATGGGCTGCCCAGGCGCAATTGCACCACCTGCACACCCAACAACAATGCCACTGTGATAGGACTCTTGCGATTGAGGCTCCCATGAAATCACATCCCTGCTGAATACCCACGTACACTGCGAAAGATGTTAAACATACATACATCTATTGTTTTATATTGTTATTATTTTATTGTTTCCCTTCTATGTGACTTTACCGAAAGAACCAAGAATATGAATCCCAGCAGTCACGAAAGCTTTAAATAAAAAAAATACATACATCTGTAATAGAAGTCACAACACATCAGCAGGTGATGTCATAACACACCTATGGGTGATTTGGAGCTTTCGTGACTGCAGGAATTACTTTTTGGTTCTTTCGGTAAAGTCATGTAGAAAGAAAATAAATTAAATAATAGAATACGACGTTTCGATTGCAACACACGCAATCATCAAGTACGAATGGATGCGAAAAAAACAAACCTAGTAAACTTAGAAATATAATGCAATACAACACAGAGTCGTATTCTATTATTTGATTTATTTCCTTTCTACGTGACTTTACCGAAAGAACCAAAAAGTAACACCTACGGGTGTTTCGAGACCATCCGTGACAAGGCTATGTCAGTACACGACTGGACCATCCCAACCCCCCCCATCCCTCCCCCTGAGAGAAATGGTATCGCCCAGACCGTCCCATCCCAGGTGCCGGTGGTGCCATGTGGCGCCGTGCGGTATAGACGGAGGGGCGGGCGGGTCGCAGGGCATGGCCTCTCAGTGGCTGATTTTGCTCACTCCATCCACCCCCCCTTGTCCCCAGTCCCTCTCATTTATAAAAAAAAATGTGAATCCCGCACGGCGCTGCCTCCCATGGAGCCGGGTAAGGTGGCCGGGCCAGTCTCACTGGTTTCAGCTGCACACCTGTCTGGGGTGGTTACCGGTCTGTGTGGAGAGCGAGTCGTTTTGTGAACGGCCGTGGGCCCTGTCACAATGAGTTTAAAATAATATTGGTTTTTTTTTTAAATAAAAAGAGCAAAAAACCGGCAACCCGTACGGAGTGGGGAAGCTCTCATCCAGCAGTGGATTGGCAGAAGGGCTGTGCGTGCAACCAGATATTTGTCACAATTTGGTATCGCGGTTATATTGAATCGTTCATCATTTTGCCTCGGGTTTACCGTATTGCGTGTTATATTTTTTCTGTCCAGTTTATACACTCCGCTCTAGTTGATGTCTGTGACGGATCCTTTCCCATATTTTGCGATGTTGCCGTGGACATTGCTGTAGTACCGCTAAAATGGTCCCACCAAGAATCGATTGATAGGTAAAAAAAGTGCACCTTCACATGCCAAATCGTTTCTGTATATTCATAGAATCGATTCCAAACGCACCATCGTGGCAAGACGGTGTCGATTATGTAAACAATCACAACCATGAATCATGAGAATCCATAGAATCACGGGGGCAGTGAATCGCTCCATTCTAATGCACATTGCATGAAATCCTGAAGCAAATTGCAGACAGCAACCACGGAAATGTTTAACAGCCCATTTGTCTGGATGAATGCCTCCCCATCTGATGTAGGTCATGGGCAGGGTTTGGCAACTAAAATAAGAAGCCATTTTTTTACAATTTGGTTTTAAAAAATTCAATGCATGGGTATACGAGACAGTCCAATACATAACGTCACGAAGCAGTCCTTAAAGAGCACGCATGCGGCTCCAGTCCCAGGCTGCAGACCCATGGTCACGGGGAATATTTGACCATACTTCACCGTACTGGTCAGTGCGGGGTTTTTTGGGAAGAGGGACCCAGGACCCACGTCTCATTCAGATATCAGTCGCCAGTGGTGTTAGCCGAGGCTAGGAAATTAATTCAGGTCATCGGCTTCACAGCACAATGTCCTAATTAGAGTGCCATCGTTCCACCCATGACATGTTGATGCTTGTATAATTCCTGTGCTCAGAGTTTATGGGTCCAGATCAGATATGTTCGCCTATTGGGTCTGCCTGCTGACATGGCAAAATCATGTTTGTGAATAAACAAAAGAGAAAAACAATTATCATAACAGACTGAAGTTCATTTCAAGAAAAAAAGATTACTGTACTTGAAATTCCATAAACTTATGGGTCTTCCGAAACAACACCGCACCCTCAATTAGCACCGTTGGTTATGTAATGTGCAAAATAAGTTCAACATACACACAACAACGTTTAATAGCGGCAGTTCTTTCAACTCAATTTCAACTTTCAGAGTCTCATTGGCAGAGCCAAGCCTGCTGAGCAAATGCTGCCATTTTGCCAAACGTATTGGCAAGAGCACTCCACCAAAGCTGTGTTCTGTCAGCACAAAACAGCAACATTGTAAAACATTATTATTTTTATTCACTTTTTTATTATAATTTTTCTTCTATCTATGTGACTTTACCAAAAGAACCAAAGAATACATATTATTTTCCTACGTACAATGGGGGTGAACGAGGAGAGAGAATGCATCATCTGTTTTTATTCCTTCTTAAAGTAATCGATTTTCTTGCCGACGTGTTTGCAGTCATGTGGGCACCGAGTCGCTGACCGTCGACAAGTGAGGAGCAGCCAGTAGTACAACCGATAAAACCAGCACGCCCACAAATATTTATTTTGTTCACAAGCATCATTAATCCACAACCCGGTAAATCCACTCACGGATAAATCAAGAGTTAACTGTACTGCGACATCTACAAACACAGCAAACCCTTAAGGCAAATTCAACATTACCAATCTTTCAAAAGAATACACAATTTTTTTTTAATCTCAACTCTACCATCTTCTTTGGTTCTTTCGGTAAAGTCACGTAGAATGAGAATAAAATAATAAATTGATAAAATAAAATAACACAATAATATTCTCACGACGTTTCGGCCACAACACAAGCGGCCTTCATCAGGTGAAGGGAGCGAGACTGTCTGGTAGGACAGCGCTGGAGTGAGAGAGCCACGTTCAGATCACGGCTTTTAAGCTGTGTGAGAGGAACAAAGAGCCCTCAAATTTCCGTACGGAAATTCTCGCTCCCTTCACCTGATGAAGGCCGCTTGTGTTGTGGCCGAAACGTCGTGAGAATATTATTGTGTTATTTTATTTTATCAATTTATTATTTTATTCTCATTCTACGTGACTTTACCGAAAGAACCAAAGAAGATGAATCATTGCAGTCACGAAAGCTTTAAATCGAAATTCAACTCTACCACTCTGAGAAATAGCACTTTTAAAATCTATTTTCAGAGACAGATCCACAGTATTACAACCGTTATGGTGTTTTTTTAAATTTAAAAGCAGCACGCAAAAGCCATTTCAATTGCCCGTGAGCGTAATTCAGTGTTGTACTCTCTTATTATTGTTGGTGCGAGGGATGTAACGATGATGACACACAGATTCATCAGTTAGACATGTCCGCTCAGCCGATCATCACCCCCACCTGGCGGGTCGGTTAAACCACCTCTTGGGCGTGTCAATCCCGCATGTTGTAGTTACGCACCCGTCCCCGTCCCGGTGTGCGCGGCTTGCCCGATGAATTTGTCGAGTCACCCCAAGGGTTACGGCCGGCCACCTTTCGGGGTCGGGCGTGCGGGGTCAGCCCCCGCGCCCGCACTACAATCTCCTCGGGCCCCGCGTCGCGACTGGGCTTCTCCGGGGTGTGGAGCTCCCCGGTGACGGCGGTGGCTGTTGGGCATCTGGGTGAGCGGGAGGTCGAGGGACGGGCTCCACCCTTGTCTGCAAAGAGATTACAGTGGTTAGTATGGATCTGGTCACCTGAATTATATTCCTGGCCTTGGTTAATGTCGGTGGCGAGCGATAGGTGAATCCTTGTCTGTTATTTGTAGCGGTCACCGTGGTCAGAAAGCTGCCCTTGGGCACCTGGCGACCCCAGTTCGATTCTCGCCTAAAGTCTGAACCCTTGCCTGGGGTTGATGTTAGACTGTACCGTTGACCTGGAGTGTTTAATTTTTTATCAGCCATGGATAACGTCATTGGCGAGTGATATCTTCACCTGTCTGCAAGGAAAGCAAAAAAATAATTGCCGCTCTTTGTGGTGGTCGCAGTGGTTAGTATATTGCACTATGAACCTGGTGACCTTATTTTGATACCTGGCCACGGCTAATATCAGTGACGAGGGACATTTGAAAGGGTCCTGGCCCCCCCACCCATCCGCCAACCTGCATTGAGCAGTGTGGTGAAGTATGCTCAAACGACTCACGTGACTGACACAGCACGTGGTGGGGAGTGTGGGGGAACGTCATTAATTCAGTGTATTGACAAAGCGCTGTAAATTATGATTATCCTTGTTAAACTTATAAAAATAAAACAATTCTGGGTAAGTGGGATAACTTTTTAAAGTACTTAAAATAGTATTTTTTTTGTTAACAAACCCATATATATTTTCCAAAACCTTTTACTACTCAAACAATCCATACCCATTTCAGCATCAAGCCAGGCAAGTGGCCGTTGCATCTACCGGCTCGGCTAACGGCTTGGCGGGTGCACGCGGTATTTTGAAAGCGAGCAGGTGAAAAGCGTTGCGCGGCTGAACAGAACATGCCCTCCTCTCCCCACGACGCCGGCTTGGCCACTCGCCCCCGCTCTCTCCTCCGTCGCACAACCGTTCGGGCGTGCACGCACAGGGGGTCCCGTTATTCCGCTCGCCGAGCGTCGCTGGCGTGAGAACCACGCAGCGCCGCGCACACAAAGCCACGCAACACAGGGCCCCCTCTGTGCGACGGCGGCAATGGGTCTCAAAGCCCGCTGCGCGAGGACTGAACGCACCCCGCTTTCTCAAGATCGAGTGGACTCGTTCGGGGCGAGTTTTCTATTGATATATTCTCACGTGAGCCGGTGAGAGCCAATTTGCTTCGTACAAGATTTAAATACTTAACGGCCAGTCCTTCTGCTGCCCCCTCCCCCCCTCCAAAGCAAAGTTCGAATAACGCAGCCGAAGTCACCCAAGTGTCTGTCTAGTCTCATCCACACGGCTGCGCGATGTCATCCTCGGTCTCTTTATCACAAATCAATGAGATGTGTGTTTAGTGGAAGTTGCAGCTGTCTTGTAATCATTGTGAAAGCTATTGTGTGTGTTTTTATTAAGATGCACTGCCATAGCAAACAGTTTTAACCGTGGTGGTTCTGATATTAGGGTTACGGTAAAACATATTTTTATACCTTTTTAATTGTCTAAAATATAGTAAAAAAAATCTTAATTAAACTTTGCCTGAGATTGTGTTTTGCTTCCTTGCGGTGAGCAGACAGAAGGGCAGCCACTCGTGGTGTTTAATTTTGGCCAAGATTCCAGCCTAGTTGGGCAGGATTCATGTTCTGCCTTCCTTTGGTTGCCAGTAACCAGAATAAATTCTTAACAAAGTAAAACAATACAAAAAAAACTCATCACATCCATTCACACCTTGCCTCCATCAAAGAAAAAGTATATACTGTAATAGTCGACGTATCGGGGAATGAGCCTTCTTTACAGCACATAAATGGAGAATTACCCTTGCCAGAAATATCGTTATATATATTTCTAAGGCAAATGTGCTTTTTTGTTGTTAACTCGGCTTGTGTGCCACTGCCAACAAATCAGCAGAATCACTAAATTATGAATACATATTCTGAACAGAGGAAGTCATTTAACAAAAAGGTCACTTGTGAACCTTTTAAAAGTGGGTGGAAACAGCTCAGGGGTAAGGGATAGCCAAAGTGATTTCCTACTCAAATGAGCATCGTGGAACTGGTGCTCATTTCCTTCTTACTGCCCTGAATGAGTGGTACAAATTCCACATTCCTACGGCGGAAGTGAGTCTATCCATACGACAACCACTGTTTACTTCTCCTCCCCCCCCCCCCCCAAAGTAGTGACCATTTTATGAAATCCGAGAAGGATGATGGGCTGAGCCAATCTCCAACTAGGATTTGAACTCACAATCTCCCGAATGCTAGCTACTCGCTCTACACCGCTATGTTTATGGCAAAATGGATAATTTTTTACAAAATAATCAAGTCAACAGGGCGTTTCTTGCACATACACACAGCTTTACAGCACTGTTTTCTTGCAGGCCTAGATTAGTGAGAAAAAAGGATTAAAAGTCACATTCAAGTGCGCTCTATTGAAGTAATTGCAGCGCCACTCTCATGCTTCTAGTATGACAACTCTGTAGTTGTTCATCACAGGGTTCTCAACAACCAGTCGAAATGCCCGAGTGTCAGAGGGTCAAACAAAGGCATTCAGCCAAGTCAAAATCACCCATTCACACCTTTACCCATGTCCTATAATTATGTGGCCCCCTAAATGTAATTTACCCCATGCCCACGTCACTACATTGTGTCCTGTGCCCTAGGAGCATGTGACCTGTGCTCTCAAGCCTTATCCCCTATGCCTCTGTGCCACCGTACCCGTGTCCCACATCCCCCCCCCCCCCCCTCTTGTGTACCATGTGTCACCGAGCCCTACATTCTCATACCTCGTACCATGTGCACCGACACAGCCCCCTGTACCCCAATGCCCCCATAACTCCCACACCCCCATAGCTCAATGCCCCCGTCCCCCCCCCCCCCACACTTTACGAACTCTGTGCCCCCAAGCCATTTCTCCAGCGCCCCTCCCCTGCCCCCCGCCACGTCTGATTTGAATTTGAATCGAGAGCGAATCGGACCGTGCCGCATGTTCGCTGCAGCCCTTCCACTCAAGATGCTCCGAGCGGTTCGTAAGGAGCTTTCTTTGTGAATGTAACCCCAACCACCAAATGCACTCGCCTCAACCAACCAATCACCCACCCTTTCCCCCCTGAGTGTATGGCTCCTGTTTGGCATAGGTGTCTCTCGCTCACATGGGGCAGAGCATCTCATGTCATGCATTGGAGGGGGGGGGCGGATAGGAGAGTGCTGTGCATAATCCTATAAATTTAACTCGTGGCGTAGCGTGGTTGGCATGGGCCCTGGTCAGACAAGGAATTACAATGCATCTGCCCGGTGCAATTTCCCAGCCCCCCTCCCAGCATCGTATCCCGGCACCTGGGCTATGGTGGATAGACAGACAGACAAGACGAATGCACATATGCTTTTAAACCTAAAGTTGAAAATCATTAAAAACAATATGTGAATAAACAAGGCGTCAAGGCTCAACTGCTCATACAACCACCTTGAAAAATCCACGCTTCATATGCAATAATGACGCCCATGAACAAACGTATAATATTGCACAGCAGTATTATACGGGAAACTATTTACGTGGGAATAAAATGGTGCTGGGGGGGGGGTTTCCTCCCCTTTTTGTTCTGGGACGAAATAGAATCGGCGATAAACCTCTGCACAAGAGCTACCTCGCTGCGTTGTGCACCATACTGTACCAATTATAAACGGGCAAAGGCCGGCAGCGATCTCCGTGCCGACTGCCCACGGTGCCAACTAGGCTCCTTACAAACATACGGCGGCCTCCTCGCGCATTCTGGCTTTGTCCACACATTCAGGAGCTCTTAAAAACATTCTTCAACACTTCAATACATCTTGTGGCACCACAACGCCTCTTCGCGCCAGAAGCCTGCTTATTGGAAGACACAAAACAGCTAGGCTCCCTGCTAAACCACAAGACCATCCATTTACTCTTTAGATAATTATTTAAAAAAACTGGTCATCAGAACATATGAAAAAGTTAATTAGGCTCCACGATGTAATGTGCAATCTCCAACTTTTATTATCCACTCTGGCCTCTAGTTGTGCACTATGAAGAAGGCCATTGCCCAAAACGTCACCTATTATATATTTTTCTTCGGAGGCCACAGTGTTACTGATGGATGTGTTGAAGTTTTTTTTGTTTATTGTGCTTCAACACCACTGTCAAATAATGCATTAATAATTCATTAATAACTTGAAGGCATGATGGCAGTTGGTCAAGAACAATGGGTGGCAGCCAAGGAACGCGATTTGAGATCGACCACTGCGGAGACGGAGTGATGGAATCAGCTCGTGTGCAGGTGCTAGGCGGATCATTATAGCACAAGATAGTGAGAGATGGTGACAGCTTAGGGAAGCCTTCATCCCTCAGTGGGTTGACCATGGCCGATGATGTTGATGTTGAATAGGCATTCGCTAACAGCCATTGCCCTTGAGCCAATGGGTGCAGCGTGTGAACACGCCGCCCCGCTACGCCGCGTCACAGGCGTCATCGAAAGCAAGGCTCACCGCGTACGGTCAACATAAGAAACCCCATTGTCTTCTGTTTTTATTTCAATGGAGCGAGCGAGCCTAGTGTGTTCACAGGTCCCCGCTTCATTGTCCAGCCTCACCCACTCACAGCACTGCTGCACCACCCCCACCTCTACCAAACACTCTGGCGGGGGAGGGGCAAGTGCTTATATCGAGCACCTATTAAGGAAAATGGTACATGACAAGGTGATGTGGGCAAGACGATGCACATCGATACACCGCCAATGGACACCATTGTCATTTATATGCAGTCATTAATACCTCCCCCACTTCGCGCAAGAAGGGCACACAGGTGATGCCATCACATCTACCCCTCTATTTAAGGACCGAAATAGGGGGAATTTCTCCACAAATCTGGCTGTCGCCTGATGAAGCTAGTTGTAATTACTGGCAAAACGTCGTACTCAGATTGTAAATGTGGCTTGGCTCTCCAACACACCGGCGTGCTGTACTAGTAACGAATCGGCATGTTCTGTTCATGTGACAAACCTCACTAATTGGCTGTCTGGTGGTGGCGGGTTTAA